TTATTATGTAAGTACTAAGGGCAGATGTGTCCTTTCCATTATGTACTAAACATAACCTATAAATATTAAGAGAGTGGCGGCGGCAGATCTGTTAGAATCTGTCCCTCCTTTCAACCWCTTGTGTTCTCCTGTTTCTCTTCTATTCTCTCTCCTTTCTCTCACTTTTCTTCTGTTTTGTAAACCTAAAACCTATTAGGATTCAAGACTGATTACAGTTTTGATCTTCTACTTTGGATAATATAGTGCAACAAAGGGAGAGATGCAAATTGAATCTTCTCATAGGATATCCTGACTAGAATAAAACTCCTTCAAAAGGGACTGCCTATCAATCAAAAGATGCTCAAGTTATCTGGAAAACGGTGGCCAAAAGGACAAACTGAATTGTATTGGACCCTTTTCAAATTTCAATGCCTTGACAAAGGCATTAGGAGCCAAATGACAAAGCAATGGTGGTGCATGTGCTTGCCAAACAGATACTTTGACAATTAAGATGGTCAAACATTAAAAAATATTGTGTAGCACAAGAAACCTAAGTAAATATTCAATTTTGCTGGGCAACCTGAAGACATGGCCTTGTGATACTTGTGGTTGCAATGCTATCAGACCAAAATATGAAATGCCAGTTTCTATTTAGTAAATTGAAGTTTAATTTCGTCTTAAGGCTTACTCTCTTACTGAATGGGAATATATGTTGAGACAGTTATTACTAGTGGTGGAATAGGATGCATGGAGAATATAGAAAATAAATTTTATATGATCATTTTAAAATCAAATGGAAATCTTCAATGATACCACAAATATTTGTTCCTTTCAGACAATGTGAAAGAGCCAACTTTTCGAAATACTTCCTAACAAATCATTTTGGTAATTTTTTAGGGGATGGTGGTTTTCATGATTATTGAAGAAATGGGATATTATCCTTCTTTTTTTCCTTCCATTTTTTTCTCTACAGTACAAGGTTATGATTCAACATAAAGAATCTTCCCTTTGCAACAACTTGTTGAAGTTGAGATAAGAGCAAGAAATCAAATGATATTGTATTTTCTCTTTTTCTAGCTTGCTTTGCTTAATTCTAAGCTGATTGTGATTTTATATTTCCATAGATCACTTAGATGCTACTTTTGACAGAATTTATCATCTATACTAATTATATTACCTTTGAACAGGTACCTGTTTTACAACATGTAAACATTTCAGTACACCCAAATGAAGTAGTTGCACTTGTAAGGGAAATTCTCTCTCTCTCTCTCTCTCTCTCTCTCTCTCCAAAGAATATAATCACTTTCTAATATTTTGGTAGGTTGGTCTTAGTGGTAGTGGGAAAAGCACATTTGTTAATCTTCTGCTTCGTCTGTATGAACCAACAGATGGCCAGGTAAGTGTCGTTTAGATTTAGTTACTTGTGAAATTCGACTGATTTAATGAATTAAGTACTTTAAAACAACTGATGCTTTTGAACTTAACTACTAACTAAACAATAACATAAGAAAATGTGATAATAATGAACAAATTATTACATAAGGGAGAGAAGATAAATGAGTTTTGATTCCTAGAGGGCCCAAAAAATGACCTGCATAATATATACTTATATATATGAGATAAACAACTAATCTGGCACCACAGACCCTATATATGCTCCAATATTAAATGTGAACAGAGGAACTTCAAGCTGCTTTGAAGAATTCTGTTGTTCTTCTTATGTTTTTGATGTACACCCTTCTTGACACAGATACCCATCAAATAGTTTGTAACTTTATGCTTCCAAAGAGGAGATGAGATAATGCTTACCAGTTATAGACTCAACCTTTTAGTGTGATTAGTGTAAGTTGGACATATGATTAAATTGCACAAGGTTAGAACCGTTTTTTGTGACTCCTTATGTTGTTCTACCTTATGGCAGATCTAAACTTCATGTATAATGATCTTGTATCACTTCTTATTGACCAATCATGTTTGTCCTAAAATCATTACCTTATTTAAATAAATAAGGTATTAATAGCTACTTCCTTAAGATAAGGAATAAGGCTTTGGCCCCCAAGAGACTGGATGCAATTACAAGGTTCTAAAGGCCAATTGCAGCACAGTCAGCACAAGAGCAAAAGTATTTTATATAGGACTGTCTCCAAGGTGGTAAACAAAGAAGAAAGAAGAAAAGGGGGAGAGAGGAAAGAAGGAAGGCAAAGAAATAAGGATCGGTTATTGCGTGAAGTCTCATTATCCCGTTCTAACCTTGGGATTGGACATTGGAGTCTAACCCAATGGAAATAATGGAGTTTCACCACCATTCGAGGGAAAACTCTATCCAAAATGAGAACACTTTGAAGACCTAAATCTGAGATCTGTCATTAACTATACATTAGTTTGCTTGGATTCCCTTGAGGGAAACCCCGGTTTGGACAGTAAGTAAAATAAAAAAAGACAAAATACAAAATACTCTAGAATGCTCTCTTTAGACTCTTGCATGGTAGGCCTGCTGGATTGGGCTTCATACTTGGTTCCCAAGTGCACACATGCATCCATATGAAGAACTACATTCCAAGATCATAAATATTTTATGTTGGTATTTTTTGGGGGCATAGAATGTTTGGTAGTTCAATCTTATGTTTTTAATTCTCCATTTAAACGCAGATACTAATTGATGGCTTTTGTCTTAAAGAGTTGGACATCAAATGGTTGAGAGAAAGAATTGGATACGTGGGACAGGTTCTTAGAGATACATCATTATTTCACTTTTAATGAAATTAACTTAGAAGAAAACATTATTGTAAAATTTCTTTTTAAAACACAGGAACCTCGTCTTTTCCGAATGGATGTCAATTCAAATATAAGATACGGATGCACCAGAAACGTTAGTCAGGAAGATATTGAATGGGCTGCTAAGCAGGCATATGCCCATGACTTCATCTTATCTCTTCCCAATGGTTACAAAACCCTCATTGATGATGATCTACTCAGTGGTGGACAAAAGCAACGGATTGCCATTGCAAGGGCCATTCTTAGAGATCCAGCCATTTTAATCCTTGATGAGGCTACCAGTGCATTAGATGCAGAGAGTGAACATTATGTTAAGGTAAATATATTATCATCGTAAAATACCAATTGTTGGTTCATTTTTGATGATTTGATATTTGCATCATTCTTTATCCTCAGGGAGTTATTCATGCTGTCAGAAATGACTCCAAGGCAAAGAGGACTGTCATTATCATTGCACATAGGTAAGATTTTTCTCACAATGTCTTCCTTCCCTATGTCTTCAAAAATCTTAACTTGATTAAACACATCTTGCAGGTTATCTACAATACAATCTGCTGATAGAATAATTGTTATGGATGGTGGTAAAATTGTTCAGGTGAGACTTTTAGAGTTTGTAGGGTTATTTTATTTAGGTTTGTGATTATTTTATGAAGTTGGTATCCAAACAATTTAAAATATTAGGCTTTAACAATGGATACTTTGCCCCATCCCTTTTACACTAATTAATGGTGGTATGTTTTATATTTGACTAAGCAAATTATTCAGTAAACTTCATACCACTATAATTGTTGATGGTCCTACATTTATAGGAATGCCATCATTAGCTGTTATAATTGACTTAAGTAAAACCATGGTTCCACCATCAAGTTCAGTTATAATTGAAAACTTTGTGGACGAATGATAAGTCCATACTTCTACTGATTAGAAATTTTCTCAAAAGATCTAGAGGAAACTTTTAATGTTCCAAAAGTTTATGGTAGTAACAAATTAAAATGAAGGAATAGAATATTCAAAACGTATTTGAAAGCTTTGTTGGGACAACATGTTCATTCATGTTTTAAGTATTGGAGTCCAACAATAATTTCTGTGCATCTGCAGATTGGCAACCACATGGAGCTTCTTCGCAAAGATGGCTTATACGCACGTTTAACAAAAAGACAGGTTGATGCCTTTGAATGATCCATGCAATAGGATGATGTAACTGCAACTTTGTTTTACGGTTTTTAAGGACAAAACTCGAGTAAGCGAAGGAAAGGTTGATGCCTTCAAATGATCGTGCAGTAGAATGCTGAATTGCAGGTTCGTTTCACAGCTTTAAGGATAGATCATCATTAATTATATGGGGTCAGCTTTTAAGGTTGGATCCACCCACAATTAACGACATTTTTAGCAATAATTTCCAAATATGAAATATGTTTCAGCTTTCAAAATTATAAACTTTTTATTCATTTATTTATTTTTTCTGTGAGTGGGGTGGAGGCTGCTGGCCATATACCTGTAAAAGTAAAGTTATAAACTATGTGCAGCTGCAAATAAGGATCCGAGTGCCCCTTCTGTTTCTCATTTTGAGGCTAATAAATGGTTTTATTTCCTGTCAAAGCAGTCCATGGCTTTAATATCTGAAAACGTTATCGTGATTCGTGAATTCGTCAGTCGTCAGATAACTGATTAAACTGTCGTAGTTCACTCATTCCGTCAATTGTCACTAGGGGTTCTGTGATTTTGTCCAAATTAATAATTGTGTCCGTTTTGTTTTTTGCCTGTTTTGAACTGATTCAGACCAGAACGAATTATAGAATGGTTTTCCAATTTATTTATATATTTTAGGGTAAATTATAAAGACCTCGGTCTGTGAGAAAGACCCTCCTGTATTATGACCGTGAGACAAAGACTCCTTCCGTTAGACAAAGACAAGAAAGGATATTGCAGCAGCGACAAAGAAGGGGCATTGTCGGCTTTGGCCACCACCACATCCGGGAATTTCTTCCAGGCTTCTTTTGAGTTCTGACTGATGTAGATTGTATTTTTCTTTTATGTTTAGAAAAAATGGATATTAATTTTTCTGTAAAATTCGACCTCCATGTATATATATTTCTGGACAATCGGCTCTTCTTCCCTTGGCCCTTAGTCCTAACCATTCTCTGTAAACGCTTACCTCTCAGCTTTCTTCTATAAAATTCCATTTTTTTTTCCAAAAATTTTCTGCTTGCAATATCCTTTCTTGAATCCAAATTTGTTTGTGAAAAAGCAGAGTATTCATGAATTCCTGCAAAAAAGACTGTAGATTGTCTCCTTAAATCCCCCTCTAGTCATCGTCTGCTTTTTATTTCTCTGCGGAAACTGAAGTTCTTGTTGTATTTTATGAGAACTAGGTATTGACCAACTGCTCAAAACCCACTTGTTGCAATCTCCGTGATCTCCTCATAGATTTACGAGATACAATGCCCCTTCTTTGTCGCATCCAGATTCCCCCTTTTGGTTAGGTACTGACAGTCTCTGAGGAGATAAAGCACTGTTCATCTTCCCCGTGATCTCATCCAGATTCCCCCTTTTGGTTAGTCTATTTAAGGCGGTATTCCTGGGTCTTTCCTTGCATGCGTTGATCTTGATCGGACTCGGCTCTTTGTTTTCTGTTTATATACACCTATTTCATCTCTTCATTCTTTTTTGGGTGCGTGTTGTACTAACTTGGATCTCCACATCCCATGGCCCCTAGTGGAGTCATCGTTGGTTACCTAACCGGTGTCCCTTTGGATATTGTAGCGACTCCATCTACGGACAAGGCAACAAACACGGTCGGTTGTTATGTGGGTTTTGATGCCTAAGAAACGAAGAATAGGCTCGTCGTCTCTCTAGGCAAGATCAGGGGAATTAAGTTCATGAGCATCTTTAAATTCAAAGTCTGGTGGACGACGCATTGGGTGGGAGACAAAGGCAGCGACGTCGAACACGAGACCCAGATCATGATTCTGGACAAGTCGGACTTCGACCGTCCTTATGTTCTGCTGCTTCCCCTCATTGAAGGAATGAAGGGTCATTCCGTGCTTCTCTCCACCCAGGCGCCGACGACAACTTGAACATTTGTGTAGCGAGCGGGTCGACACAAGTGACAAGCTCAAGCTTCAGGAGCTCACTGTACATGCATGTCGGAGATGATCCATATAGTCTTGTTAAAGACGCAATGAAGGTGGTGAGGGTTCACCTAGGAACCTTCAGACTCCTGGACGAGAAGACTCYTCCAGGAATAGTAGACAAGTTTGGTTGGTGCACCTGGGACGCCTTTTATCTTAAAGGACATCCTGATGGAGTGTGGGAGGGGGTGAAGGATCTGGTGGAGGGCGGTTGCCCGCCGGGGCTGGTGCTCATCGACGACGGATGGCAAACCATTTGCCACGATGATGACCCATCTTTGCCGCCGCTGCTGTTCGAGGTTGGAGAAGATAAACAGTACTTTGCTCCCTTCGAATATTTATTATAAGGGTATTATGGGGATTAAAACGGTAGATTTAAACGAAGAATTAACGAAGGGGGTATTTGTCTCATGGTCATAGTATAAGGGGATCTTTGTCGCAAAACAAAGTACATGAAAGTCTTTATCACATACCCTATTAATTTATCCTATATTTTATTATATTTTATATCTAAAAGAATAAATTTGATAGATAATATATAGGATAGTTTTAATTAAAAATATTTGATTTTTTAACATATAAATAAGTTACTAATGTCATTTTTATTAAGATTATATTATCAAATATCAAAATTTCTTAAGTTATTAATTATAAGATTTCAATATAATTGAGTCCATTTGGTCAGAACTTCTAAGTTGTTAATTATAAGATTTCAATATAATTGAGTCCATTTGGTCAGAACTTCTAAGCTGTTAATTATAAGATTTCAATATAATTGAGTCCATTTGGTCAGAACTTATTTGTCCCGATAAATAAACTGGACAGTGTTCTGGATCTATCATTTTGTGCCGATTAATAATCCGGAGGGAACTGGGATACCACCGATTGACAGCTCTATTAGTCGGTACTCAATTTTATGTCTCTAATCAATAACAATATGCCACCAGGGGTTTCAATTGGATTGGATTTGGTCCAATATATTCAGTTCAATGTGAGTCCATCATAAAGGGATCAGGTTGATTTATATTGATTTTAAATCAAATCCGGTCCATTGACACCTATATTCTTATCTTATACCAATAGACCAAATATTTGCTTAATTCAATATAAATTTATTACAAATGGATCGGGTCCAATCTAATCTATTAAATATTTTGGACCGGATTAGTCCAATCCAATATGTCTTATTGGTCCGTCCAAATTGATTTTGGACTGGATGAAATCCAATCCAACGAGTCCATTGACACCTTTATCTGCCATATCATTTAAAAAAATCACTTTAATTTTAAAAATGAGAAAATAGGCTAAATTCCATTGCAGATTTTTTTCGGAAAAAACTTATAAAAATTCTGAGCAGAGCCCAATTGTACTTTGGGCCTAAGAATTCTAACCTGGGCTGAAGTGTCATTCTCCCAAATAATTTTTTCTACACCAAGGGACAGACGATGTGAATTATATGAAATGTTGTGCCTTAATTCCTCTTGCAGTCCACTCCATGATCCGACCAACATATGTAGAGAAAAACCCCACCTGAAGGGGGAATTTCATTGAAGTCTGTGGTGGATATGGACCTGCTCCGTTGTCGCATCTGGGTCCCCTATATGTCTATTCTGTTTTAGAGAAAGGATGCTATGACACCTAATATCATTTTGGTTAAAGGTCCGTGTATTAAAATTTAAAGTTTGATAATATAATCTTAATAAAAATGATAATACAATCTTAAAATTATTTATGTAATAATAAATTGGACAGACATTTTTAACTAATATTCTCTATTAAATTTATCATTTCAAATATTAAATACAACAAAAATTATAAAAATAAAAAGCCTTATATATATATATTTAATAATATATTCAGATCGGAACAGACAAAGAACTCGAACCGACCCAATCATTATTAATCTGATTCTGAACAAAATTATGAAATCAATTGGTTTGGTTCGGGCAGTCGGGTATAATCGACCCATTGACAGCCCTACGGCTACGAGGACCTGTAATTTCATCCGAAATTCCTAAGCAGGTATTAGTATTTCACTATTTCGTCAATACCCCGGGAGGAATACATAATTTTATTTTGAAAAGTAGAGGAAAAAGTACTGATAAATAATAAGCGACATGTCCTCAGTCCTCTTGAGTCTTGGCTCTTATTATTGGGAAACCTACCCAAGTACCCAGTACCCATACCCATTCAGCAGATATTCACCTTCACCGAAGACCGAAGGGAACAAAAGGGACCTCCCACCGTCGAGTCCGTCGGCTATTATACAAAGTCCAAATCTAGGGCTTCTTGTTTTCTTTGTCAGGGGAGAAGAGAGATTGAGAATCAAAAAATCTCCGCCAGTACCCAAACGAATACACAGGGGGAGAGTACAGGGCTTCGTTTAGAGTTTCAATGATGCATTCGATAGACCTCAGATACTCTGATCCAAACTCCTATCGTGAAAGGAGAAGGTAAGGGCTCCTACCCTCCATTCAATATGTCACGTCACAGCTTCTTTGTATTTGTTCTTCCGTGCCTTAAAAATTCAATTTTCCGTCTATTGCAGTGATTTTATGGCGCCACAGCAACCGGCAGCACCGTCTTTGATGAGTGGAGCAGGTGGCGCCGCCCCGCACTTTGGCCGAGGTGGACCCGTTGCTTTCGGAGGACCTCCTGGAGCGTTCGCTGGAGGAAGGGGAGCCGGAGGCTTCGGTGCTCCAGCCCCAACTGGAGCAGGTAATTTTAATGGGATTGCTCCCTTTCAACCAGCCGGTGGGAGAGGGTTTGACATTGGTCGAGGTGGTGGTGGAGGAAGGGGCTTTAGTGCAGGACGAGGAAGTAGTTTTGGCGTTGGCACTGGCGGTAGAGGCGCTACTGCTGGTGGTGGTAGAGGTGGAGGTGGTCGGGGGTTCGGAGGAGATCGTGGTGATAGGACATCCAATGGAGACCGTGGCGGTAGGATGCCCAATGGTGACCGTGGCGGTAGGATGCCCAATGGTGACCGTGGCGGTAGGATGCCCAATGGTGACCGTGGCGGTAGGATAGGAGGGGGACGTGGTGGTGGAAGGGGTCGTGAAGTTGGTCGTGGTGATGCTAGAGGGTTTGACGCGGGTCGCAGGGGAGGTAGAGCCGGTGGAGGCCGTGGTGGTGGTCCAAGAAGTTATGATGGAGGCCGTGGTGGAGGTGGTAGGGGAGGTAAAGACATTGGAAGGTCTAGAGGGGAGTTGGACAGCATCGCTCTTCCTAAGCAGGACTTTGGAAACTTGGTCCCTTTTGAGAAGAACTTTTACATAGAGAGCTCTTCTGTGGAGGCAATGACGGAACAGGAAACTGCTATTTACCGCAAGAGGCGCGAGATTACAGTTGAGGGATACGATATACCGAAGCCCATCAGATTATTTCAGGAGGCCAACTTTCCAGGTAATTTTTGTGGGATTACTAAGTTTCATAAACAAATACTACTCCCTCCATTTCGTATTTCTCTTCTTCGATTCTCCTAAGCAAACGAGTTTGTGTTAGCTTATTGTTTTTATTTTCTTCAACAGATTACTGTATGGATGCGATAGCTAAATTGGGTTTTGTGGAACCAACACCAATTCAATCTCAAGGGTGGCCAATGGCTTTAAAAGGCAGAGATTTGATTGGTATTGCCGAGACTGGTTCTGGGAAAACGTTGGCGTATCTGCTGCCCGCTTTGGTACATGTTAGTGCACAACCTCGATTGGGTTAGCATCGTATACTCCTTGGAATTTATACAACACTGCCATCTATCTCGCACTCTTGGAATTTATTATTTAACACTTTATTTTTCAGTTCAAGGTGAGGGCCCAATTGTACTGGTTCTAGCACCTACTAGGGAATTGGCTGTTCAAATTCAGGAAGAAGCTGGGAAATTTGGATCACGTTCCAATATCAGAAGCACTTGCATCTACGGTGGTGCCCCCAAGGGACCACAGATTCGTGATCTTAAAAGAGGTCGTTTTGTGGTTGCTCAACTGAAATATTTAATTCCACTCTTTAGACCTTTTAGAAAGCTCTGATTGGTAGATCTCATTGCTGCATTTATTCCAGGGGTTGAGATAGTCATTGCTACACCTGGTAGATTGATTGACATGTTGGAAGCTTGCCATACAAACTTGCGGAGAGTGACATATCTTGTGTTGGATGAGGCTGATCGTATGTTAGACATGGGATTTGAACCACAGATCAGGAAAATTGTTTCCCAAGTATGAATTATTATTTTTTTGTGCATTTTTATTCATGTCATTACATTACTATATCTCCCAACTCCCAACTAAAGTAAAGAACAAAAAAGAAAATTTCCCTATCTACTAAATTATCTGAGAGAAATTTGTATTTTTGTTTTTGTTTTTTCACCTGCTTCATAGTCTCTTCAGCATATCCAGAACTTATATCTGTTATTCTTAAGGTTCTCAATGAACTTACTCATGTTGACTTACATGCAGCACAGTGATGTATGTAAATGTCAGCCATATGACATGAGCTGTTTAGATTATTAAAAATTGGAACATGACTGTTATTTGTTTGTTAATTTTCTTCATGAAATGTATTCTGGGTGGCATTCCAAACAAGTTGGGTGCATATGCTTGCTGAGAGTGAGGTAATATACATTCTTTTAGTGCTGATGAAGGTCATGCTCAGCCACAGAGTGTCTATCTGGGTAATTGATACCTATAGGAAGATCAACTTACATTTCTTCATTTGTCTGACCATGAGCTTTCTAGTTTCTACTTCTTCTGGCTAGAGGAAATTATTGATGCTACAATTAAGCGATGGTAAATGTAGCATGTCATGATCTCCAGCTTCTAATGTTTATTATATTAATATTACATCTCATTACTATATTTTTTATTTTAATGTGATCCCTAGTATTTATGTATTCGGATCTCTTTAAATATTGGCCTAAGTGGAAAAAGTTGCTTTACTTGTAGATTCGACCCGATAGACAGACATTGTACTGGAGTGCCACATGGCCAAGAGAAGTTGAGACTTTGGCAAGACAGTTCTTACATAATCCCTACAAGGTACATTATATGCACCCTATTTTTGGTGAATGTGTGCATACACATCCTTGTATACTACCATGCCTAATTGTTCTAAAATTAATTGTCTTTTATAGGTGATCATTGGATCGTCAGATTTGAAAGCCAACCAATCTATAAACCAGGTTGTTGAAGTTATGACAGATTTGGAAAAGTATAAAAGGTGCATTCTGCAACTAAGCTAAATTAAAGTATGGTGTCCTAAATTTTGTTAATCTTGATATGCTTTTGTGTGTTTTCAGGCTGACCAAGCTGCTGACAGAAATGATGGATGGAAGTCGGGTTCTAATATTCCTGGAGACCAAAAAAGGATGTGACCAGGTCACAAGGCAGCTGAGGATGGATGGATGGCCGGCTCTATCCATCCATGGTGATAAAAACCAGGCTGAAAGGGACTGGGTTCTAGCTGAGTTCAAAAGTGGCAGAAGTCCTATAATGACTGCCACTGATGTTGCGGCACGTGGTCTTGGTAGGATCACTGTGTGTTAGGAGTCTTATATCTATTTATTTCTTCTATGCTGAATATTGGCGGGTCGGCATTTATCAAAAAAAAAATATTGGCGGGTCGGCGGGCTGCTGTCCAGCTTCCCAAGAATAATTCGTGGTTTGGCGGGGTTGAGGAGGTGCAGCCATTCTATAAGATTGTAAAGATGTTCTTACAATTTCCATCTGGGAGCATCATAGTTGGCTTCACCAAGGGATTTTTTACCTATTGGATTCAGAGAGATTAATGTCCCATAAAAATGCCTCTGCTTGGGTACCTCATAGTTGCAGCTCATGTTACATGGACACAGAGCTAAGGCTCACTGATATGACTATTATGGTTTATAGATTTTTGGGAAGTACAGGTTTCACATGTATGTATCTCATTCATGGGGATGTCAGCATACATTTCTACTTATGCATGCCCAGGGAAAACATTGAAAATCTTTCATCCATATCCATATTTACTGGACGTGTCCAATAAAGGCATTGCACTTACAATTAAAGTGTCTAAGTAACATGGTTGGAAGTTATCACCGCCTATCCACGGTTATGGAGTTGGTTGTTGTGGCAGCCCAGTCGACTCAGACAAGCTTATTCTTTCAATGGAACTGGATGGTGGTTCTGGTCCTTATCCCTGCAGGTCAAAGGTGGGCACATTTACTTGTTGAATGTGTAATCTCGTATGTGATCTGGAGCTAGGGGGTGCAGGGATAAGGGGGTAGTAGCAATTTTGCCCTTTTTTGGGAAATTTGCTTTACAGTTATATGCTGCTCTTTGTGAACTAACATTATTTCTAATCCCTGCAGATGTAAAAGATATAAAATGTGTGATCAATTATGATTTCCCATCAAGCCTTGAAGATTATGTTCACAGGATCGGACGAACAGGTCGTGCAGGTGCTAGAGGGAATGCTTTTACTTTCTTTACTCATGCAAATGCAAGGTTTGCCAGAGATCTTATTAAGATCCTACAAGATTGTGGACAGGTCGTTAATCCAGCATTGGCTGCAATGGCCCGGTCAAGTGGTTCACATGGTGGAGGTATGTTTCTAACCATTTTCTCCATTACATGTTTAAGTGATGGGTGGGTATTTGGTTGAATTGAAATGATTTTCATGTATAATTTATTCCTGTGCTTTGACAGGTCCAGGGGGAAACTTCCGCTCAAGGGGACGGGGAGGTGGTGGTTTTAGCAATCGAGCTTTGATTTCTGGATCCAACACTATACCACTTGGTACAAGGAAGCCATGGTAGCGCCTATTCTTCTGCATGGCCCCATATTTTTCTTTTATTGTTGCCTAAAGGCTCGTGTGAGTTCTATTTCTTACGCTTGTTATGTTGGTAGGTCTCAGTATTGACTAGTGGTGTTGAATCTTTGAAATCATTTAAGAATCACATTAACAGTGACAATATACCTGTTTTTAGATGGTAAATCTGCTGCTGTAAAATGTCGATGAAAATAGCAATGAATTCATTTCCTCGATGAGGGTGTGGATATAGGCTTATGCATGTTTAGCTTTACCAACCATTGTAACCTCCTACTGCAGTTGTGCTTTTCTTATGAGATTTCATACCCCTTATTAGAACGTCTGTAAAAATGGTCATTTGGGGCCCCACGTCAGCCTCGGGCTAAGCTGGGTTCTGACGTTCTGTCCTCCCGGTACTCCATTGGCTATAGGTATGACTGGTATGTGACATGTCCACTCCCATGATGATGACAAGGCTTTACTTTTTGATATGTTTAATGCAAATTCTAACAAAATTTTAAGGAAAAAATTTGGCCCATGCCAAGCATTCCATCTGAGTCACTGATCCTGTTCATCATGTATATATAGCTCTAAATCACAAGAGGATAAAAGGTAAATGAGCGTTTGTGGAAAATACATTGGAATTATGGGGTGTTACCCTTTTTTTTTTTGGTATTTCAAAGGCCTTACGCTACAATGGACACATTCCATGATGCTAGAATTTGTTAAAGATTGTTATGGCAAAACCAAGATCCGAAACAATTGGCAAATTGAAAAAACGAAAACAAAAGCAAAAGCAAGGGCAAACAAAGATTTAACGTGGTTCGGTATTGTTCATCCACATGAGTAGCAGCAGATATCCACCGTAACAGCAAAACAATGGAGTACAAAGGTTGTTCAGCCTTTTACAAGCCTAGCACCTTCTACACGACGGACTAGGTCTATATTTTGTCCTAATTAACCACCCAGACCTGACCCATTGATAATCCTAATTAGGGGAATCAGATGGACCAGTTCTACTCCCAATAGAGAAACCAAGCTTACCAGTTTCGACCTTAACATAATTTGAGTTGGGCTTTGGGTCAGACTAAGACAGCTTATCATTTTCGACCTTACCCTAACATAATTTGAGTTGGGCTTGGGTCAGGCTAGACATAAGTAATCAGAATTGAATTTATTGAATTTCTCAATAACCATCCATTATAGTCTAATTTAAGAATTGAATTTATTGAAAAAACTAGTGTAATGGCATGTGTAATAACTAAAAGATAAAGAACACTATATTTATACCTTAAAAAAATAAATATTATATAATTAAATTTAACTTTTATAACTTACATCAAAACTAAAGCAACTATATGCTTCATATATTGGTTAATCAAAATTCAGGCAAATATCTATTTTATATATAGAATAAATAACAACTCAACACAAGCTTGTGAAACAAAGGTAATATTTGGTACCGTGACCTTTTATTGAAAAAATGTTTTGTCTGGGATTTATCTTATAAAACAAAAAAAAAAGTGTTTGATAAACCAAAATTAAGACAAGTATCTTCTTCATATATAGAAGATCAAATTCAAGGCAAGTATCTACTTTATATACAAAGTGAATATATGATCAAATTCAAGGCAAGTATCTACTTTATATACAAAGTGAATAACAATCCAATACAATCTTATGAGCCCAAAGCAATGAAATGTTTTATATGGAATTTATCTTATAAAACAAAAAAAAATGTATTCGATAAACCAAAATTATCAAATTCAAGATCAAGGTTCAAAGTATTGACGCGTATTGGCTGATACGTATTATTCCGGGACCCCTTCAATACACCCCTATAGTGGGTGTATAGGTGGTCTTACCGGTTTAGGGAGGTGGAGGAGCCCTAAACCGGCCCCTTGAACTGGTTTCAGAAAAAAAAAATTAAAAAAAAAGTAAAAAAAAAACAGTATCAATTTGCTCGATATGCCCCTACCGACGTATCGAGCGTATCGATATTTTGAACCTTATTCAAGACAAGTATCTACTTTATATATAGAGTTAATAACAACAGCTCAACACTATTTTATGAACCCAAAGCAATGTTTGAAGCTCTTGCCATTTATTGAAAAAAAATGTTTTGTATGAAATTTATCTTGAAAAATAAGAAAAATAATTGATAAATATTTTTTGCTATTGTTTAATACTTAGGTGCCCATTAAACACCACACAAGTTGAATAGTAAATAAATGCTTAAGTAGAATAGTAGATAGAGGCGACATTAAAATAAAACTTCCCCAAACATAATTTTCACACAAACTGAAACAAATGTTAATCTTAATGTTTTTGAACCATCATTAACCCAAACAATCAAGACAATAGGACTATTCAACCTAAAAGTTGTTCAAATAACTAATTCCGTTTCACCCTTAACCCAGTCCTAGGCCAAAAATGATTGATTTAATTAGAAAACCACTGACCCAGTGATTCAACCTGAAAATCGTCCAAGCAACTAAATTCATTTCGCCTAGGCCAAAAACTGTTGACTTAGTTAGAAAACCACTGACCCGAATGGTTTATTAAAGACGTAGAAGAGATTGTGATGCAGTTGATAGGTTCACTAACTCGTCAGAGTAGAGACCTAGGATCAAATCCCGCTGCCACCAGGGGTTGGGGATTAAGGGAAAGGGGATGGGCTACCCCCTGTTTTGTAACCCCATGAAGCAAAAAAAATAAAAGAAAAGAAAAGATTGTGATGTAGCGGTTCTTAAATCTCAGATCATTAAGACCACACACAAATAAGCGGTTCGCCGGTAAATGTCGATCTTTCTCCTCTTCTTCCCTCCTTCCTCCTTTCTTTCCTTTCCCTCTTTTTCTTATTCTTCCCTCCTTCCTCCTTTTCCTCTTTCCTTTCCGTTTTTTCTCCTCGAATCGAATGGTCACAGCGGTTTAGGATTGCAAGTCGGGCAGGGTTAGGTCGGATTTAGGCCAACCTTAGCCCAACCCTAAGTTCTAAACCCCAACCCTAACCCTAACTCAACCTGACCTTCAACCCAACCCTAACTAAATTCCTTCAACCCAACCTTCTTAGTTTTAGATCTTAACTCAATTTTCAATACATATATTGATCCTATGTTTCATTAGTATTTGTTTGTTGACGTTATTTTTTTAGTACAAAATTTAGAAAAACAAGTGTTAGAAATGACTATAATTTATTATGAGTTATGACTTACAATAGATCTTTCTTGGACGGCAAACAACATAGAAGAGATGAAGAATAAAATTTTCAAAAAACACAAAATAATGTTATTAAGGTTTTAGTCTTTCTGATTAGAATTAAGTGAAGTGATTATCTTAAAAGAAATACATGATACTATGTGATGGGGGCTATACAAATATCATGCATCTAAACAAATCAATGTATGCTATATATTATATATATAACATATATTTATATATAACATGTACTATAGAGTCAAGTTCGGGTTGGGTCAGGTAAGGGGTCAACCCTAACCCAACTCGAAGTAAAGTCGGGTTCATAAATTTCAACCCTAACCCGAACATCAACCGACCCAACCCAACCTTTTTGGGTTGGGTTCAAGCCAACCCGGCCCAAGTTGCAGCCTTATAGCGATTGCATTTGTAGGTTGCCTAATTTATTTAATAAATATTTTACCAAATAACATTTTTAATAAATGGCTATACAAATGATGAACTGACGCCATTTTTCAAATAAAAAACAACAGAACCAAACACCATGCAAGGTTCTAAGTGAAACTGGATGAAACAAGCCTGAGGAAAATTAAAGAAAGAAAAGAAAAAAAAATTGAAATTGGGATAAAATTAGCCAAATCACATATGGAACATTAACTGAGTCATTGGCGCGACTAGCATCGACCGTGCTTAACTTTTACATGAATTTGTCGAATTCAGTGGTGCTCCCATTTGAATTATATATTCCATGAGTTTACACCCTAAATACTGGCTTTTAAACGCTGAGCGGCTGAATGGGTTCTCATGAATCCCATATATGCTGCTGGTTCTACAAATACAAAGGCAAAAGAAAGATGCAATTATATATTTATACATTACACAAATCTACTGCTAGTGAGAGAAGAGAAAGAAACATGGTAAAAAGTTCAAAGTTTCTCAAGTTCCTCTGTTGAGAAATCCCCAGGCTGAGGCACTTGTTGGTGAGGCAGTCGTTTGATTCCATCACCTTCCTTAATCTTCTTCTGTGGCTCTCTCTCTTCCTCCTTTTCTTCTTCTCCACCTCCACCCATATAGGCATAGTTCATGGTTGGCTCCCCGCTCTTACTCTCGACGCTTTCCGGTTTATTTCTCATGCTACCAAATCCTTGGTCCCCGGAAACGGAAGCGAATGCGCCTTCTCCATTCCTTTCCATGAGCAGATGAGCCCCTCTGCCTCGCTCACAACTCACAACTCACAAGCGATGATCGACCGAGCAATTAGCAAAATAGAAAACGAAAACCGATCGATATCGATGTAATTAAAATAGTATAAGAATAAAAGCGGGGTTCCGATCGACGACGCCCATTATTTATTAAATTAGCACTCATCAGTTAGCTCTTGTTCTGGGTAGTCCACATGGAGCCCTGCACATGCATCAGCCATCAGGAGGTGGCTAGCTAGCTCCTTGCATGGCCTCTGATCGGTGTGGATAACTAAAGCCTGACACGGAGCATGGGTAAATGGTAATCACCAACTCCAGGCTGGAGACACTTGGGAATAGGGGTTGTCGATTGGACTGGATTTGGTCCAATCCGATTCAGTCCAATGTAGGTCCATTAAAATTAACCAGGTCCAATCCAATCCGATGAATAATTTGGACGAGTCCAATTCAATGTTTGGATTGTTCAATTTGTTCAAATTCAATTTAATTTAGATTGATTTCAACCCAAACCTCGTCCATTGACACCGACCAGATATTGGTTTAACCCAACCAGATCCAATCCAATCCAATAAATATTTTGAATCGAATTGGTCCGTCCAATCCTTCCAAATTGATTTTGGTCTATTGACACCTTCCCATGCACATTACGGACACCTATACTAGCTAGCTATCCCTGTGCATATCGAGAGCTTAATTAATAAAGAACTCATTTGTTCATTCTTCTGAGAAAACATTTATGGTTGTACCCATTTTCAACTGATTTGTTCGATCTGAAACCGTTGTCATAATTAATAGATGTCAACTGATTTGTTCTAACCAGGTTTAGGAATTAGGATGGGCCGAGGGTCGAAGGAGTGTGTATTCATCTTCACATTTACAAACAGAGAGAAAATAAGAAAGTTGTCTTAAGTCTTAACACTATTGGTTACAGTTGAAGATAAGTTCCAATTAATGAAGTTTTTTGTTTTTGCTCCACAGCGAGGTCCTCCAATCTGTTCCACAGGGAGAAAGGGTTCCAAATTAAAACTAATTATCACAAGATACATATGCTCAACATTTATTAGTAAAAGGTTAGATATATTAATGTTATTAATTAAAATTTCAAGTATAAAAGAAATTAAGCATTCAAACTAAAAGTCTCATTAACACAAAAGCCTCCATGGATGCAGGCTTAATACGTCAAACTATGTTAATTTGTGTATTCTTTCTCTCATAGTTTCCGTTTTAATTTCTCTTCACAATACATAGTATGATATTCTACAAAAAGTGCATAAAAAAGCTATTAAGAGTTATAAAGAATGGCCTATAATGGAGATATTGAGTATGACAAAACCAATTCAGATCTCTTGCCAACAAACGCTGCAAGCTCTTTTATATTTTCAAACTCAGAAGGGCTGTCAGGTGGCGGAGTGAATAGCAATGACCTTGGGCTAGGGGTACGACTGGGACTTAGAGGCTCTTTCTTTGTTTCTTTGACTCCAAATACTGTAGAACTTGGTGCAACTCCCTGATGAAAGTCTATTACTCTACCTATAATGGATGCTTAATTGGTCTCCCTTCATAGACGTAATAAGGAAAAAAAAAAAAATCAAAGCTTGAGAGAAAGCAATGAGAGAGAGAGAGATGTTACCTTGGGGTCAAAGAACGTAAGACCTTGAGATGCTCGTTCATTTGCTTCCTCCTGTTCCTCTCCACAGTTATGTGGGTGGGACATGTTTTCGTTCACGATATCGGCTGTTCTCTCTTCAGCCACATTTTCGTCATGTATTTATATACACACCACAGACCACAGTGCGGGAGAATATTCTGGGGAGCTATACTTTTGGACTCCCAGTACTGCCCCATTAAATGCTTATGCTGCGCTTTCGCGAGTCGTGAAAGACGATCTCATTGGAGTTTCTGAGCGCAAATTTTGACAATTTACAATTAGATATTGTGTTCACCCATTGCCTAGTAATTTGATTAATCTCACCCATTGCCTAAGAATGTCTCTCTTCCCGGTGAGAGAATTGGTTCTTCGCCAAAAAGAAAGTTCGCCTAAATTTGGCAATTTACAGGCAATCGGATAACAACAACAAAGAAAGTGAAAAATACTCATGAAGGTAATAACTACTAAAATGTACCTAAATGAAAAATCATTATTATTATTTCTTTGCTTTGTTGGATTGAGTGGCCTATCGCCCTCGTTGATCTAGCCTTGGTGTGTTGGACAAACCGTGGCCACTGGATATAGCCACACATCAATGAACTAATTGCTTACACTTTTTGTATAATATGATACACAATATCACTTCTTTTTTATTATATTATATTTTATTTTCATATAAATAAAATGTTTTACCAAACAAGTCTTTTACACACTTTCACATGTACACATTTGTTGGGCCAAATCTATTCAATGTTTATGAACGTTAAGAGTAGAGGATTTGGCAAGAGTGGTTAAGAAAATTAAGGCTTTAATCCCCACTCTATGAGACACCAGTTTCATCGTGATTGGAGCCCAACTAAAAGTGAGGATAAATGGCAGGTTTAGAAGTAAAAGTGATTACCTACTAAAAGTGAGGATAAATGGCAGGCCAAATCTATTCAAAGATGTTCCCAACATACAAATTCCTCATGCAGCTATAAATAGGAATGAAGAATTGGGGAACTTGCACAAGTGAAATATATATTTTCTCTCCTGCAAACCTACTATATTGGTGCTCCTTCAGCTCCATGTTACTAGGTGTTTTCATGCTTCTCCATTTTCATTCATGGTATCCAACTAGTCATCAATCATCATCCCATTCCCTTAGTCATTAGTCATTACCAACATCACCAGGCAAGATTGTTTTTATATCAGCTTGTCCCAATTGGTGCAAGCTTTTAGGCATCCAGGTTCAGGCCATGCTCTTGAAATGGCAAAGCTAATTTCAACTGGAATCGAATTGGTTGGGATCCGGAGTGGCCAACCCAATACCTGAAAAAAAAAATGGATGGTTTCACGTTTCAACCATGGTTTTAAAATCGTTTTTGACCCGGGTAATCAAACTGTCAGCCATCTATTTGGTTCCACTTTGCATCTGGCCCGGAATTTCCAAAAACTGTTAAATCGGACAGTGAACCGCTAAACCGTTCAACCCAAAGAATGTTTTTGGGTCATTTTTTATTTTAGTTGTTTTTTTTTTTTGTTTTAAATACATCAATGGATGACTATTTGGACTATACAGTCAAACCGTTTGACCAAGACAAACAAACCAGTGGACAAAGCGATTCAGGTTTCGCATCCATTTTAAAAACAATGGTTTCAATAGGGTTGGTGCTTGGTATCATTAAAAAATGTATTGGTCATACAATTCCAAACCTGAATCCAACATGAATTGAAGAGAAAATCTGTTGCGTTTAAGCTGGGTGGTTTACAAGTCATATCAGAATTACAACTCTGGTAATCTAATTCGCAACCAAATAACCATAGTAATCACAATGCTATTCATTTTGGACGCATCCGATCTTCTACTTACATGTCCGATCTTTGAAAAACAGTGGTCCAAATCTTTTTCCAAATGAGAGAGAGAGAGAGAGACATATTGTGCTGAACTCTGTACAAAAGGAGTTATGGAGGCAAACATATTGAACCCCCTCTGTGCAACCACCTTAGCTCTCACCTGTAGGATACCAAGATCATCCAAACTTCTTAGTGCATACAATACATAATTATAGTCCAATACCAAACTGTCTAAGAGGGAAAAAAAATCACAGCAGTTGTATCTACTGAAAACAGGAAACCAAATTAAAAGATCACTTGAAGCAGAAGTGTTTATTTGGTGGCATTTGATATTGTAAAACCTGATGTTCTAATTGTTTTGCATAATTGTGAGTTAAGAAACTAAAAGAGCTTCTAATATCAATTTCAATAACCTTAGAATAATTGACAAAGCATCACTAACTTTAGGGTGCTCCTCTCAATAAGTAATCACATTAAATAAATGAAAAAAAAAACTAGAAATATTGATAAGGTATAATAGATGAGAAAATAAAACTTTGTATTGGCTTAAAGCCAAACCAAGTCTATAAAACCAAATAGAAATCCTAATCAAATTTTCTCAATATTCTAAGAGAAACATGACCTAGGGCTGCCTCCTGTAATAGGGGGATGGTTGGCTTCACTTGGCACAAATTTAGCAATGGATCTTGTAGAAGAAGACTATGTGGCGAATAAGTGTCTCATGTACAAGAAGGATGAATGGAAAGAAAGTAACCTAACTTTTCCTAGGGTTTCCAACTGTGCTTAATCAGCCCCAATTGAACTAACATTGGAACCTCATTATCATGTAGCTTTTCCTAGTCAACTAGGCTGATTAAGCACAACTGGAAATCCTAAGGAATATTTCCCTTACACTTTGAAGAGAAACATGCTTTAAGGATATATACAGATTTTAAGAATTTAGTGGCATTCATATAAACAACATTTTTTTTCTTTTGAAAATGCATAAATAACAATTTAATAAAAATTCCTACAACACATATTTTTAGTAGTACAAAAAAATGCAGGAAATATCAAATTGAAATCAAGGCAAATGAAATGTGTTACCCAAAGGTAATATTACTGAACATGTGAACATGAGGAGGAATTTTAGTGTCATAGAGTTCTTAAAAAGAAAATCATATTTGTTCGGTATACAGTGACAGCCTTGTATTGTTAACTCCCCCTTCCTTTGTTATTATATATGCTAACAATTTTAACCCACCCACCCCAAAAAAAATCCCTATGTCCTTTCTATTCTCTTATGAATTTCATTTATCTAAGTTGAATGACCACAAGGGCATTGTTATTACTAAAGCAATGTATACAAGCCCATAACTTTGGTAGAACATTCCTTGTCCTTTTCTATATTGATACAGCTAGCATGCAGGATTGTAATAACAAAATAGGGCTTTAAACTATAAAAGCTTATACATGAAAGTAGAAATCGAATCAGATGACGAAGAAAATATTGATTGAAGAACTTCAGACATTGGAGATTTTCCAAAGCAAGAATGAAATACATATCTGAATTTGGCATTGATGAATTTGAGATATCAAACACACTTTAAATAAGTAAAAACAGCTGGAAGAAATCAAACTTAAACTAAACTCTGCTGTTAAGAATAGTATACCTCTGAGAGATTTTTCAAAGTTCAGTAATTGCAGCATAAAACCAGGATTAGGGGCTGCTTGTGGCCTTTTACTCTTAACATAATCCAAAGCTTGGGATAGACACATGTGATGCTTTTTCATCAAATAAGCTACAACAACTGTGACACTACAAGAAAAACACAAGAAAATCATTATCTAACTAAAGTTAAAACCTACAACAACATGTAATGTAAACTATCAGTTACCAGAAAAGAATTTTAAAAATTCACTCTAGTCTTTTTTGTGAGATAACATACATATCTGTAGTCTTTTCTACTTGATTTCAGATGTTGAATATCTGTACTCAAATAAGGGATATCAAGGATTATATCAAGCTAGGACTTATTTTATTGACAGAAAATAAGTTTAACATGATTGCCATTGAACTTTCAGTAACCAGGGAAGTTATCTGTAAGTTCCAAGTTAAGAAGTTATCCTGTGATGTGGATGGAATCATGAAAATGACTGATCACAGAGAAAATTTAAGAAATAAACAGAAATTTTAAGAAAAAACGAAGACTTACACATGCATTAGGGCAAATGTTTCAATGTTTAAATAACTTTAAAAAAAAAGCAATGCATACATATCTTCAGCTACCTATAAGAACAGCACTCATGTTTATTGACAAGTCACTAATACACAAGATATAATTAAAAGGTCCAAAAGTGAATAGCCAAGATATAAGAACTTGGAATAAATATTCAACATTATGGTAGAGACAGAAAATGATATGAGAAGTTGCCAACTTAATTACAACGCCTTTCCAATATAAATATTATTTATAAGTATTATTGAATATAATAGCTGAAAAATATATTCTTTAAATGTTGCATGCATTGATTGTATGAAATACATTTTTGCCCCTTCTAAACATTATAATAGCATCTTCAATTTTTTAATTCTATAAGATGTATGATATCTATTAGAAATTTAATGATATCCACAAAATAGTAACATAAAAATAACACATCTAGTAAATCAATGCAAATAAATAAATGAATACATAAATAAAAGAATTAACTTATATTCATGAATAACAACTTAACTGAAGAATTGTTTTGAAATGGAAGAAGATACAGGCTAAGTCCTTTCGTACAGTATGGAGAACAAGAAGAAATACAACCTGGTTGACTGGAAATCAGCATGCACATCGAGGAATGTAGCATGTAGCAGAGGATTAGAATAAACAAATATGGACCTATCAACCTCATGGTAAGTTACAAATTCCTATGGAGTTTGCATGTTTAAAGAATTTAACAAGTGATAAAAGACTCCAAAATCTTCTCCATTTAAAAGAATGAAAAATAGTCATGGATGATAGAGACAAGTAGGGGCGTTCACAGTTTGATTAACCGAACTGTGGGCTATTTTTTGAAACCAAACCAGTACTACTGGTTTTTGAAAGTCCCTTAACCAAAACTGAACCAAATCAAACGGTTGACCAGTTTTGGTTTTTGACTGGTTTGGTTCTTTGGTTTTTTGGTTTATAATATATATATATATAATTATAAATATATTGAATTGTAATGTGTATATTTATAATATATTATATTTTAAATATTACAAATATATAATATATACCAGTCAGTTTCGTTAACCACCGGTTTTTTAGGTTAACCGAAAACTGAACCAGTCCTATTTTTCAAAAGTACAGAACTTCAGTTAATCACATTTTCCAGTTCGGTTTTTTATGAGTACCCCTAGAGACAAGAGGTACCCTCTAGTTAAAATGATGTGTGCTTTCCCTCACGTAGGTATTAAAGGATTAATTCCTATAAAGGATTAATTAAATATGATCTTAATGATTAATCATCTCATTTCCAATAACTTTCCAGCCAAGATGGAGTTCGAGTGGGTGAAGAGATGCCCCTCCACCTGCTTTTAACACTATGTTTTGTTATAATGATGAGTCTCACTATTTGGGTGCCTTCGATGCAATTCAGGTCTTCCCAAGCCTGGTATAGTTTAACTGAAGAAGGTGCGCTCTCTGAAACTTCTTTTTGTTGTATGCTGATCGATCTAATAAGTAGAGCCATGATAATTTTAAGAACAATAGTTGCATGGAAAACATCGTCATGGAATGAGCCTTTAGCCTGCTAATGTTCAGTTGTCCATATGTTCATTATTGATCAAAATAAAAATTACTATCGTCTTCTAATTCTTATACCAACTAAACAGGGTTGGCTACACGAATCCTGTTTCACTAGGCCAGGTTATGTGAAGCTGAACTTTGTTGGCTGCTGCTTAGGAAATCCCACAAGTGGTTATTGTTTGGGTAAATGGAAGTTATTTAAAAAATGGCCCATTCGCAAAACAAGTTCAACTTTTATTATATACTAAATACGAACATTATATATATAATACTAAAAATATCTTATACACAATACAAAATAAAAGAAAAAGGAAATTTAGATAGGAAATTTTTCATATATATTACTTCAGGTTATAGAGTCAGTTTGATGTAGTTTCTTCTTTCTTTGACAAGTAATGGTTCAACTTAGTTTCCTTTTTGCTTATATCAAGGTATAGCAGTTGAATTTACAAGACTGCTCTTTCAAGTGCACAAATTTGCTCGTTTGGATTTTAACCTTCTTCAAATCTTTAGTCCCACAATAGTTGGTGAGTTGAAACTATTTATATTTTTAGTTTTTTATGGCCCCAGTTGGGATATGCTTAGGAAAGTTTGACATCCAAAAGAAAAACTTATAATAAATCCATCTGGAGAGACTCTTGAGTGTGATGAGGAGATCTGCCGATCTAACACTGAAGAATTTTAGGAGAATCTGAAAGAAGATCTCCAAATGAAATCATCCCATTCAAAACTAGGGCTGTAAAATTTCTCATCATTCAGAAGCCCCAAAGTGCCAAGAATATACAAGATTCAGGGTTTATCATTCCAGAGAAATAATATCCAAATGCCACTGTTACTCATAAAAAATAAGTAAATGTACAAATAAATAATATCCAAGTGCCCAACCTAAACCACTTTCTTGACAATGCATACATGCACTTCCAGTGTTAAGTTTTTCTCTTTGGTAAACCTTCATCCATATCATGCATAGATAACCATATGACTAGTAGTGCAAATTCCTCTGGTCCTAGGTTGCAATGGTATTTTGATAGATAATTGGGAGATTTCTATTTGTAAAATGGTGTAACATTGAAAAATCATGAATAAAATTGAAAATTCAGTTTTCTGAATTCGTTCCCACCTTTTTGTCTTGAAATCTCAGATACAAAGTGGGTCGAATAGCTAGTCATCTATATAAAAAAGTTTACTCCTCTTGCTTTATATGTTCACTACTAACTTGTTATGATCTTCCTCTATTATCTCCCCTTTTCCTCGTTTTTGCTAATGTCTGAAAGCATTCTTCTTGTATGGTGTTAGCAGTGAATGGATAATTTAGTCACCTTCTACACATGCATGTGGTTGTAAGTGGTAATTGTTTCATGTGAAAAGGCTTATCAAACTGAGTTGCATCACAATTGATCCAGTATGGGATAAATTCTGGCATTCTCATTACCATTGTTGTAAGGAAATAAAGCAGACAGAAAAATAATAATTCACCTTCTAGATCTCCCCATAAAACAATGAATGAGCACACCTCCACCCACCCTTTTTGCCTCATCAATGAAATTGAAACACTCATCAAAATGTTGCACTATATCCATATCTTCTTTATCAGCCACTACAAAAGATTACAGAGAGCAAATTAAGACTTTATAATGTTCCACCACATACTTATAATGAGAGAAAAAGTACAAGCACATAAGCGATCCACCTGAAAAGAAAAATGGAACCAACTCAAAAGAAAATTTAACTAATAAGACAAAATAAGTTCATTGTAATGCACTCATTGGCAAAACATGGGAACCCTCATCTCCTGTGGAGGATCTAAAGCTTTTATGATTTCAATAAAATTTACTTTTCATTCTTTAAAAAAAAAGGTCTGAGGATGGCATGCCGGATACTAATATAACAAAATGTGCAAAAAAGGGATTTGAAGTAAGTCTTCTAAACAGCATGTCTAGGCTAATATAATTTAGTAAATTGGGAAGAAGATAAAATACTTGGACATGAAAGATAGATTAATGTCATGCCAGATCCTTCCATATGGTAAATTCTTTTTTATGAGTCTTCCATATGGTAAATGATCATTCAGGATTTAAAATTTTTTCATCATTGTGAATCTTTGTGCTTTCTTTTCCTCGATTTATAGAAAAATATTTAAATGAAAAATTGTATACAGAAGGTATACAAGCTAAAAAGAAGAGCACAAAAAAGAAGAATGAGATAAATCCAAGAGCCAAACTGTCAAGTACGCCTACATGAAAGATCCTTTATTCAAAAAGCCAGAACACCTTCAAAATCTCTTTCACAAGATCAAAGAACTACCCAACCAAAAGGCAGCTCCACCAATCGTAGAAAGACCAAAACTCCAGGCCACCACACTATTTAGCAAAAGCTTCTCCTCATCTACTGACTGCCCCATAATCTTGTTGCACCCCTTTCCCTACCCTACCTCTTGTTTTAAGGGGCCCAAATTATTTCTACAATGACACCACCACAAAAACCCTTTTTTTTCAGAAAAAGTTGTGCTTATTGCCACTGGATTATGGATACTGATAGTATTTCAAGCAACATGCTTGATGCATGTCAATAAGCAAACCTTGAAATATTAAACATATGGAATCATAACAGAATGAGAAATAGGGAACCATGATTGTGTACAAAGTAATGGTTAGCTAAGAAGAATGAGATCACATTTTTCTTTTGAGGACAATAATGAAATTTGACCTTCTCCTCTAGGTAATGAATCGGTCCTCCATTGACCACTACATTATAAATACTCCTAGTATGGAGCAACAAAGCATTTATGATTTGAGTTTGAGCTTCATTAAGCACTTGTGACCTCCTGGTAGCAAGAAGGGAAAATAGTGCTTTGGTCTCCTTGAGAGTTGAGTTAGTCTTCTCAATGGGTTGATTGAGCCCCCATATATATTTGAATCCATGTTACCTGGATACAGAAAGGACATGGCTGGATACGGTATTGGAAACACAATTGAAGTATCTGGATGACATGTCACCCTTGTACAGATATCTGGGATCATAGATTTGAACTGAGGGAGTCCTCATCCCTCAGTTAAGTGGTTTCCCTAGTTATCTCTTTGCTTCTTGTTTTTGTCTTCTTTATTTTAGCATTGCATTATATGAATTATCAATGAAAAATTCTCTCTTTGTTTCCCATTTGGTTGTACTCGTGTTAGTTTATTTTGTCATGCATCAATGCTCAAAACCAAGGAATGTATCAATTGAATAGAAACTAGATCTGAAGAATAATAGGTCAAACTCAAAAGGAATAAAGTCTCTAGAGTTTTATAATGGAGGTAATCCAGTAGATGAGAGGTTCCTATTTTTTCACATCAATCATAATTGATCAGCAAGAATATTCTGGTCCAAATAAACAAAATATATATATATATATATATATATATATGAGGGATCAAAATTTCAAGAAACTTGCCTACCTTCAACCGTCTTACACATGAAATCACTTGTAAGTAATAGAGAGCTCTGCGCTGGTAAGTTGGCAACAGTTAAGATGTGAGTGACATTCAAACCTTTCAACACATTCTTGTTAGATGCAGCTCCAAGAGATCCCAAGAAGAGGCCCTGAGATAATTCAAAAGAAAAAATAAGAGGTTCACCATTCATTATAAATAAAACCAATCCGAACAAGACTAATGCAACAGTTACCAGAGAATTCAAAGAACTGAGAAATGAACAATACTATCCAAGTTAAATTAAGTCAGAAGTGACTAGACGGGATATCTATAGCAGTTATAGCAGCCAAATGGAAATATTTCTAACTTAGAGATGGTGACATGAGCACTACTCATCTTATACATGTCACTGTAAAGATTATATGTATATTACTGCAATTACCTGTTACCTATCAAAACATACTACATACCTCTTCAATTCTGCATGGAACAGTGTCATCCTTTACACATTTTACTGCACACACTAATCGAGCAAGTGCTGATATTTGATTTCTATAAACTTGTTCAAAATGATCCATTGCTAGTATTAAAAAATCTTCCTTCCGTTAACGTACGCACAAAGGCCTCAGGAATTGCATGCTGCTACCATGACCTAACTTAGAACTTGTCAATATCAGTTAGCATGATAAAACAGAACCAAACTGCAACATACAAATACATGTTATAGGAACGATAAGTAATATTAACTTTCAATTTCATTTTCTTATGACGTGCAGCAGCTTTGTCAAAATACTTGGTTTGCTTGTTCCAATGACTGTTTGTTGGAAACTGATAAAAGAAACAACGGGACAAAAAAGGATGAAATACAATTTACAAGTAGTATTAACAACCAGAACTATAACCCACAGTTGAAACTGGAGATTATTTGTAGAACTAGAAAATTGCAAATCAAGTACTAAATTCATTGGTCTAATACAAAATAACTAGCTGAATTCACAACTGGAACCACTTGCACTCAAATAAATGAGTTAGATTGTCTAGTTATCCTAGCTGCATGTTTTTGCATTACTCGAATACTTGTTATTTCTCTTCACTCGAGTCAAATAAACAGCTCTGATCTTCTTAGTTCTTATTTCTTATATATATTGCCTACCAAGAAAGGAAAGGAGCCTTAAACAACTGACAATGCTCTAACTATATTACTATATATAGAAATATATGATATACATATATGTAATCAGTAGGATCTTGCAATTTCTAATGGCTCTATACTGAAATTCCAATGGAGCATTTTTATACTTACAGTGGATCATAGTGATGAATTACACACACACACACAAAATGCCAGCACTTTTGGGGACATTAAACACAGCAAATTGTGTAAAAAAGGTATTATATCATGCACAATTGAATGAAGGTGCAATTTCTTTGTCATACGATTGATTTAGTGTATAATACAATTGAATGAAGGTGCAGCTACTCAATTTATCCTTGAAAGTATTGTCTTTATTTACATTAACCAACATCTCCTTGCTATACTGAGAACTAACATCCTCAGGGTAAAAGGATCTTCAATGTAATAATTATCTCGTGGGCAATTTTAATTTCAAGACTATCTATTCCCTTCAATTTTTAGCTCCAACTTTTTTTTTATCAATATTAAGTGCTTTTAAGGATGAAAATAAGTATATTGCTCACATGGTTTCCTGAGAATTGGGGGTCTTTCATAGGATTTGGGTCAAAGAGGGATTGAGGAATAATTAGTCGAATGATATTTCGAGTCTTTTGAATGATCTAAGGGATACTTTCTTTTGCTCTAATGGAGAGAGAGAAAAATTCAGAGTCCGAATGCAAGGCGTCTTTTCTCGTATGAGTTCTTTTTCAAATTATTTTACTAGTTGAATCCATCATCTCTCAAGTATTTCTTGTCTGTCACCATACGAGTTGGTCTTCACCTCCAAAAGTTAAAGCTTATTGTTGAGAGGCTGCAATAGAGATGATCATACAGGAGATGGTTCAAAGGAGGTGGAAATCATGGCATCATCCCTCATATGTACATCCTTTGCCTTTAGAGTAGGGGGGATTAATCACCCTCTTTTATCTTGTCAGTATGCATGCCTCTCAGGTATGGAACCACTTATTTCTTTATGGAGTCTCTTGCACACCCCCATCAAGGGCCACTGACCTGTTTTCAAATCAATCATTTGTCGAGTTCATGCCAGCAACTTTGATAATTGAAATCAATGGAATGATGTTCTTAACTGGTTCTAAAACGGCATGATCCCCACCTATCTACTTCTTTTTTTCTCTGTAGGAAAATAATTTGCAATCTATGTGCCATAAAGGGGGGAAATAGCTAAGAAAAAAGAAAACAACTCATGCAGGAAAGGATCTGGTGAGCCAATTAATGATGAACAAGAAGACACGCTTCCATAATTATAACATATTTGTCAAAAAATAACAAGAAATAGATGGAGCGCTTCATAGTTTTAACTGACCTAACTCGCTTGTCCCCATGGAAGATGGTATCTCATCATCGGCAGACCCTTGGTTTCGTGAGAATCAGTCGGCCTCTGCGTGATAACTGGAAAGCGGTAAAGCATCAGGATGCCAAGGCATTTTTATTCACAATTCAAATGCAAAATAGTATGAAGTGCCTCGAATCTCAATTAGCATAGGCTAAAGTTGCAATGGTAACCAATTCGACGAGGAAGCTCCCGGCCGATCACCCCATAGTTGACATGGTCATCATTCGGTGTCCCTCCAAAATTGGAGGCGCAGGTCAAAGTCAAACCCGAAGAACTACAACCTTCCAACCTCTGACGTAGGAGTTCACAGCACATCCCAACCGTCTATTGGAAACATCTCCCATCATCTTTCTTACTTGTCATGAAATATTCATGTTCTCAATACACGATTGTGATGTGCTGTGAAGCGTTGTGGGGGCGCCTCCTTGCGGGGGCAAACTCCTCAGTCCCGATGCCTAGTGTTTATTGAAATCAAATGCATGAGTATTAATCTGATATAAAAAGTAAAAAATGTTTAAAATAAAACCCAACCAAATGTGGGTTTTGTAAATATGGAATAAACGGCCTCACTTGAGATTCAATATGAGGATTTTGTAACAATGGTCATCGAAGTCCTCCTCTATAATTTTTATTATATAGGAGGACATGGTCATCAAAGTGTCATCTGAATTCCATAAACGGCCTCACTTTGAGGACATGGTCATCAAAGTCCTCCTCATATAGGCATCGCAACGGTGTGGGTTTTGTAAATTCCATATCTTATCGCATGGGCACCTCATAGGCACATCCACTGTGCATTGGGAACATGTTTCCAATGCATGGTGTAGGATGTGTGTGTGAGCTGGGACGAAGTTAGGATTTTTAATTAGTGGGGGTTAAAGTGTAATAAACATGGATAGGGGGGTCAAAAGATAAGAAATATGGATAGGAGGGGCAAAACATATGTGAAATTTAAATGGCTACTATAGGAATTTTCAAGGCATAAGGGGGCCATGGCACCCCTTTGCCACCCCCCGGCTCCACCCCTGTGTGTGAGGTTGATGTGAGGCGCCCTATGTGAGGAGCAAATCCGGTCTCATCTTATCCAAGTTGGATCTCCTACTTATAAGATCTACCTAGAGGTAGGGGTGGCCACGAGCCGAACTCTTCATGAGTTACTTGAGCTCGGCTCAGCTCGGTTTCAACCAAGCTTTGAGCCGAGTTTGAGCCAAATTTACATGTTCGATTAATAAATAAGTCGAGCCAAATTTATATATATATATATATATATACAGAGAGAGAGAGAAAAAATAATATGTAATGAAAATATTATAATTCTTAATTTGTTAAATATCAAATAAAAAAATATTTTTATATATAATTTTTTATTTTTATAAAACATTTTTTCTCAAATCGAGCTCAAACTTACAAGTATTTTACTCAAGCTGAACTCGAGCTCAAGGTTCTAGCTCGAACCGGGCTCGAGTTCGAGCCTTGTACTACCTTGGCAAGCGTACTATTTGGCTCGACTCAAATCCACCCCTACCCAAAGGACACTAAAGCTTGTATTGGAAACATTTGAATTCACATCTACTCCCCACAAAGGGTGCCCCATAGCATATTTCAATCGTGTGTTGGGAACATATCTTATTGACAGCTTCAAGAAATGTTCCTAGTGCACGTTGAGATGTGCATGTGAGGCATTTGTCTCCAGGTTGCAGGGCACTAGTTCAACTGGCCAGGTTAAACGATTCAGATCATGCTACATCAGCAAATATATGTATTAAGTATATATATTTATATACATACATATATGTATATATATATATATATGTATGTGTGTATAAATAATGTATAAATATGTTATATGTATTATTTTATATTTAATATATGTTTTTCAATTCAGTTTTATTTTTTTATTTATAAAAATGTTAAAAATTGTAATTTGAGGCAAAAAAAAAGGGTTTATTCGCGAAAATAGCGAGGCAAGGGATGCATATATCTTGAAATTGTAATTTGGTCAGGCGGGAAGTTGAATTTGGGGGTTTTGAGGTGCCAATGGGATGAATTTGCCGGTTGCACATGTGTTCTTTAGGCACGAGTCAAAGATGCGTGGCACTCCTCTCCTAAGCTGTGTGAGGACGGTGTAAGGAGCAGATATGGACTCTTTTTTTGGACCGATTTCCATATGAGTCATGATCAACGGGTGGGGCTTAAATAAAGGAGAGGAGAGGGGAGGCTTGCCACTTGACTTAATGGGATGACTAGTGGGGAAAGGGATGGATGAGAGAGAGTTAAAGGAGACAGTAAGGGGGAAGGGAGGAAGTGGAGGGTAGGTGACAGTGGCATTCCTTGTACACTCAATATAAAAAAAAAAAAATGAAGACAATAATTATACTGTATATATCTATATTATCCATAAAAGTATGAAAGACCACTTTTCTCCTTCTTCAAATCCCTTTCATCAAGTCCCATATTTAAAGTATTAACATCCATTAACATCTACCGAATCCTATTATTGGCTAGAATATCCCTTATTTTTGAATTTGGTCCCTCTTTGATTGTGGGGGCACAAAATGTAATTTGAAATATTACATTTCTACTCATTCAATTTCTTCTCATTAAGTCTTATATTAGAGTATTAGCTTCTATTATGTTATTAAATCTTATATTTAAGATATTATTTTTTCACAAGAAAATAAATAAATAATTTATATCAATTGGATCTACATCAAATACTTTTGACATATAAAATACATATGTTTTTTTTTTTTAAATCTACTAAAAGGTGGAACTATTTTTCCATCACGGTGACAAAGTAAGCAATTCAACCATCTGAGTCAAGTGGGTTAATCCATGATGTCATAATTAAATAAAAACTTTTTAAATATAGATAAATAACAAATATAAAAAACTGGACACATCTCTAATGTTTTATATATTAATCATATCAAAGAAAAATAGGTGTGATAAATAATAGTTTCTTTATTGATGTTGGAAATAAGATATAAAATTTAAAATCAACCCAAAACTGAAATTGTTTTCTTGGTGGTGGGTCAACAATTCAACCTTTTTTTGGGTCATATGTGTCAACCATTGATTTTATAATCAAATAGTAAAAATAAAAAAATAAAAAAATATGAAAATGATAGAAAACTTTGTAGAGAACATGTGGACAGGGATTTAGCATTTTATATTAGTCATTATTAAAAATTAAGCAAGATAAACATAAACTGTATTTAATTTGTTATCGATGATATAAATACAAAATTTAAAACTAACCCAAAGGTGGAATTTTTTTCCTATTTGGTGGTGGACCAATTCAACATTTCAAGCCAAATGTGTCAACTCATTAACTTATAATAAAATAATAAAATTTTTAAAACATAAAAACATAAAAACATAAAAGGATGCAAAAAATATAAATTATACAGAAATAACCATAACAAACATGACAATAAAAGTAATTTTTATAGACATAGAAATATTAAAAAATTGTAGAAAATTTTAAAAGCATATTATATACTATCATCGTCACAAAATTTGTCACATACAAAACATGTACACATATACTAGTATTGTTAAAGTTGGTTTGAAGGACAATTTTTTAACAATGAGTAATTTCTCACAACTATTTTCAATATATAATATATTTATTATATATAATATACTATGATAATTTTTTTTACTTTATTTATTTGGTAATTCTTTTAATGCCATTCGATATCCAACCACAATTCAAATTAAATTGGTTTGAATCAGATATAAACAAGATGATTAAGGGCCTATTCATTTGCTTTGACGTGACATATAAAAGTGCAATAATTACACTAAGAGGTTGTGAAATTTTCTTTCCTCTAAACTCTAAGGCCATGTTTGGTTTGAAGGAAAATATAGGGAAAGGAAAGGAAAAGTAGGGAAGTCTATACAAGGTTTGTAAAGGTTTTCCTACATTTCCTTTCATTTTCCTACCTTTTCCTTCAAACCAAACATAGCATAAATGTAGAGAATGCTGTTATGAATTTTGAATTATGAATTATGAATTATGAAAATTGTCAATGTTCATTTTAACCCCATGTATGAGAATTTTTGTTTCTCCATGTAATGCAATAACAAATAATAAAAAAAATTATTATAAGGATTAATAATTGTTAATAATTATTAATTCATAATGATCAATTATTAATTAATACTAATTCATATAATAGTTAATAATTAATCAACAACTAATAATGAATAATTAAAATTTAATTTATAACTAACACTAATTATTATAATAATTAATTAAAATTATTATTTATTTTCTAATTAACTAAATAAATAATATTAAAAACTACTGTAATGATTAATAATTACTTAATATGTAATAGTAGCGATTATAATAATTATTGATTATTGTTAACTAATAATTAATAATAATAATTATTATTATTATTTATTAATTACTACTAATTAATATAAGTTAGTAATTAATTAACAACTAATAATTAATAAATTATATTTAATTAAAAGTTATTTTATAACTAATACTAATTACTATAATAATTAATTATTACATTTTTGAAATTCAATAAAGAAATAATATTAAAAATTGTTATAATGATTAACAATTAATTAATATTTAAGTCATTTCTTTTATTTTTATGTATAAAAAGCAAACTAGAGAATGACCCATGCTTTATTTGAAGTGTAAGTGGACAACTAAAGCCCCATTTGGCATCAATTATGTGCGCTCTCATTCTTAGAATCATCTAAAAAAATAATGGATTATGAGAATTTTCATCATAAGAACCACTAATTTTGTTTGGCACAATCGTTTGATTTCTGTTTCTCGAAAACAAAATTACGTTTGGTAGCAACCAATTTCTTTTAATACATTCTCCAACCGATTGATAGACAAAACCATATCAATTCTAATACATATAAGTTTAAATGGAGTTATATTATATTCTATTGCGTTTAAATCATTTTCAAATACATATACAAAAAGGAGATCAATTCATGCATAATATTGGAATTTGGCTTTTTACGGTGATAAGATTGGCCTGTTGCATACTTTCAAAGTCTGAAAGAAAGGAACAAAGCTTGCCAAAAGGTTTCTCATCACTGGCAATAGTTCCATTTTAGGGGGTGTTCTTTTTTAGGATTTTGAGAGGGGGGAAAGTTGGTCAATGGGATTTTGGTTCCCATTAACCAAGAATTCTATGTTCTTTTTTCATATTTATGTGGGGAATAGGGAAAGTTTATTTTCCTGGGTATCACTTACCTGGTAAATAACTTTTCCACCTAGGGGGAAAGTTGCCAATACTTGAATGGAACAAAAATGCCATTTTTAATTATGGATTTTTATGGCTAAAATGGTCATTGCCTTATTTACATGAGAAATTAAAGAACATGGGTAAATGCATTTACCCGGGTAAGTGTTTCCCAATAAAAACTTACCAAAATAATTGTATTTACCCAGATAACTAACTTACCAAAAAGCAAACGAGACCTTAAAAACACAAAGGATTAGCAGTTGGGACAAGTACATTAAAAACAATGCAGAATGTACCTCATATTATAATTGTGATTTATACCTCTAATAAAAAAGTTATAGACTTATAGTTTAGTCTCATGAAGAAGCAGAATTTCAGTTGCCACTTCGTAATATCTATATAAAATAAAGTTAACAGAAAGGACCCAAAAAAACACACACACACCCCTCACTAAATGCCAATAACTTCTACCAAGGTATCCATTGCATTTCTTCTTCATAACTCAAGCATCTATTCATGGAGGTTATTTTTAACTTGTTATTTCCGATTTATTAATTAAATTCCAACCCTTTTTCTGTTCCCACCAAGTAGACCTGAACCATTGATTTGGACCTTTAACTATTTCACTAATGCACTCGTTCTAATGGTTTACATGTGTATGTATTTATTTATAGTCTCACAATGATGTTTAGATGAAACATAGCTTCAATCCTAATATATACACGTTTCCACATATAGCTCATATATATATGAATGATAAAACATAGTTCGGGAGGAAAAAACAATGAAAAAAATAACAGACTTGTAACATAAAATTAAAAGAAACTGATTATAGCATAAAAACTAAAATCGTTATTGCAGATCTGATTCTACATCTGGGATTTCTTCCCAAGAGAACGACGTTAGAAGTTTGTCCTAACAGATTCCACATAGAATATCATGGCTGCGTTTGGAAAAGTTGTAAATGGAGTATAAATTCCGGTTCAGGGTAAATTTGCACTCTTATTCACTTTTGCCTGTGTTTGGCAACATTATATTTATGCATTGACAAATGAAAGACCAATGCATATTTATATTGATAATAATATGTAAAGTATATCAAAAAAGAAAAAGTAAATTTGCATTTAAGTGGGCTTTTGATAAAAAATATCATATGCTTTATTGAAATTATTCTTTGCATCCATTACAGCTAAAAGTCTATTTGGTAAAAAGGTAATTTTGTCAGTGCAAAGCTAACTCAATTTTGCAATTCATACGAACATTTTACGCTCTACATATTTGCATTATTTCCAAAGACAGCCTATATATAAAAACCAAAACATAGCTGCATACCTGTGAATAGTTAAAGAGAGGGACGATGAAAGTTTCACGTAGGTTAATGAAGAACAAACTTGAGGCGTTGAGAAGTTCACAGATGTTAGTCTATTTGTAAGGAAAAAGTTTTGTTGAAGAAGAAGCCATTAACTTAGCAGAGCTCAAGCCGTGCACATAAGGAGCCGTTGGAGTCCGAGAAGAAAGATTTTGGAGAGGGTTTCCAACAGAACCAATATTTGGTGTAAAATGACACAACTACCCACACTTGCTAATGGATAGTATTGCACATGTATTAGTTATTTGATATGGGACATAGCAAAAATTGCTTAGGCTGCGTTTAGAATCAGTGTAAAATGTTATTGGTGTAAAACTATACTGAATCGTGAAAGTGACTGTTGCTTTTTGAAAAACGCATTTGATGGAAGAATGTAAAATTTTATATTGATGAAATCAATATAGTTTTTACATAGATTATTGATTCAAAACTTTATGCTTGATGAGGTTTTACATTGATTATTGACATAAAATTTCAAATCCATCCAAACACACACAAAACTGAAATAGAGTGGAGTTTTACATCGACCATAATAATTATACGCTCCTTCCAAACACCTATAAAATCAAACTGATATAAATTTTACATCGCTTCCAAACGCAGCCTTATTGCTAGAATTGCGATTCTTAGAAGTGAGAAAATTTTCACTTGAGAGAACCATGCCTTTAGAGTGAAATTTTCATAAAAAATCTGAACTATTCGGTTCCAAAAAGAATCTCCATAATCAAACATAATTGATTCTAAGGAGTGATGCCAAACGGGGCCTAAAAGGCATAAAAACAAACTAAACAGTTGGGCCAATCTTATGGATAAGATTCCATTCGAATCCGACTACAATGAATCAAATCTGGATCAAACCCATATCCAATTCGATCCGTATGGCCCCATGGCAGTGGAAGCTCGTAACACTCCTGAGAGTTTACTTTGTGTTCAACTGTTCATACACCTTCCTCGTACGGAGCATGAGATCTCACGTTCGACAATTGGGAGGGGGAAAAGAAGAAAATTTAGTATATGAATCGGACGGCTAGGAAAAGTCACTGAGAAGATGCTACTTCAACCCCATGTAGGTAAAATAAAATAAAATAAAATAAAATAAAATACGAGGTTTGAAAATCGGAAGGTGGGATCTTTGATGAACCTGATTCGAGGGGCCCACGTAATATGTGGTCTTTTTGGAGCTAATCAACGCCGTTCATCAGCACATCTTCTGTAGGCTACGTATATAAATAAGTATGTACTAAATTAAACCCCTTCGTGCTGGATTTATTCGTCTAGCTAGGGCTACGTATAGTCCTAACAAGTCACAGTTGCTCATTCTCATTTCTCCCTTCTAAAATCTAAACCCCAAAGGCAAAGTCTCGTTCCCTTCTGTGTCTGCTGTCGCCGCCGACGCTGTAACCTTCTTGTCTTATTTTTCGTCGGCGTAGCTCAAGGCAACCGGTCGAGTCGATTATCATGGACTCGGAGGCAAATGATGTTCCTCCATCAGAGGTCGAAGCTAATGATGTTCCTTCGTCAGAGCACGCAGAAGAGGAGAAGTCTCATCCTCATACGGGAGAGGGAGCCAGTCCAGGGTAATTATCTTCATCTCTCATTCAAATGTTCTTCATCTGTTAGTCTGTATTCTACCGAAAACGTTCTCTATTTCGATTTCTCCTAAGGTTATGTTTTGTTTGATAGGATAAGAGAGAAAAATAAAGATGAGGGAAAGTTCTATGTTTCTCTCTTATTTTCTGTTAAACCGAACACATCCTAAATTAACTGATGATATTCTTTTAAATTTCCCTCTTTTCCCATATCTTAGTTGATTTATCTGTTTATCTGTTCGTTATTTTATAATTTTGGGAACTTATTCTAATCTGCTCTTTATATGGGGCCACAATCCTGCGTTCTCCCATCTCTTTTCTTCGTAAATTTGTTTAATATGATTTGGAACATGTTTTCTTGATTTCTTTTTCATGACCTCTCTTTATTAGGGAAAGAAATCCTTTGTCTTACTGATTTTTGAAGTTTTCTCCTTCTTCCGTCAGGCAACTGACTCTTGCCGCTTGTTACTCCAGCATACTCAAGAAGGATTTTGTTTTTTGTGGGAGTCCAAAACCTTCTGTTTTCTTCATTTTGCTTCATATTTACTCATTATTTGCTAGAGAACTTGGCTTTTAAGTGTTCGATATGCATTCACAATTCTAGTTCATGCGTATTTGCAGAAAGATTTTCATCGGAGGTTTGGCAAAGGAGACAACTTCTGGTTCGTTCTTCGACATTTACTTCATCATCTTCTTCTTTCTACCACAGTCTGTTGTCTCACTTTTATTTTTATGCACGGTATGTTATTTACTGTACAGCTCAATTTACGAAGCATTTCGGGAAATATGGTGAAATTACGGACTCTGTAATAATGAAGGACAGGAGGTCAGGGCAACCCCGTGGATTTGGATTTGTGACATATGCAGATCCATCTGTGGTTGACAAAGTCATTCAAGACACTCATGTTATCAATGGGAAACAAGTAAGTCTATTTTGGATATGAACCTTGGGTTTAATTTTCTTTCTATTACTAATTGACTTAAAATGTTGACTTCTAGGTGGAAATTAAGCGAACTATACCAAAAGGAGCTATTGGATCTAAAGATTTTAAGACAAAGAAGATATTTGTAGGTGGAATTCCAACAGCAGTGACTGAAGGTTGGTTTCCCATGATGCAAAAGAACATTGGATCACCTTGAATTTGGTGTGATAAAAAAATCATTTTAAGCAGATGCCTAGCAAGTCCCAAGAACACCATTTGTCTATAATTTTTATGGCCAAAATACTAACAATTTAATGCTCTGTAATGGTTTGGCATTTGGTTATTCTTGTTTCTTAAGTTCTTTCTTTTTTCTTTTTTTTTGTATTTCTCAGTTAGTAGTAGTTTCTATTTGGTTTCAGTGCTTTGAGTATATCTAACACCACGGCAAAAGAATTAAAAGGTTATTCTTTGTAGCCTTTGTGTTCGAGTCACTATTGGCTTTGCTTTTTTGTTGAAGCAGGTTCCTGATCAGAGGCTATCTTAGGCCTAACTTATATTTAGTTACTTTCTAATTTGTTTTGATGGATAGGTACTACCTAATTTGTTAGTGACGAATTAGTTGCTTTTGAGGTTCTCACCTCATTGTTGTGCCCGACTAGCCTACAAAATACAGGCCAATATTGCAATACAAAATAAGCTATTCTGATGAACTTATAAGCCTTTATGATTTGGTGTGCGATGCCTAGCATGATGAAGTGGTGAGATGTCTTCTAAAACATCTCAATTTTGATGCCTTCTAGTTGAAGTAGCTATTAGATGCCTCAACTAAGTTTTTCCTGAATATCATCCATAACTTTGCTTGTTTATCAAAAAGAAAAAAAATCATCCCTAATTTCCTTAAATTGAACTTCTAGTTTCACTTAAAGATTCTGCATAGATTTTTAGCTTCTCTGTTTCACTTAAAGATTCTGCATAGATTTTTAGCTTCTCTGTTTCACTTAAAGATTCTGCATAGATTTTTAACTTCTAGTTTGACCTTACCCTAGTATTTGCAGTTACCTCCTTTTAATCCATCAAATGGTTAGTAAACTTTTTCTTAGCCAATAAGATCTTAGTCATGCTATTTCAACATCTGCGTGTGTGTGGGGGGGGGGGGTTGGTTAGTGGGGGCTCCTGAGTCTTGACTTGTTAGAAAAGTAAGACAAGATATTTGTGGAGGGTATTTCTGAGCATTCCCAAAGATAACACCTGAAGCACTTCATGGGAATGTAGTGGATGCAGAAAAAGTCCAAAGGGGAATTGGTAGCCAACCAACAAGTCTGTTCATTTGGTTTCTCTCCAGACATCTAGAGAATTAATTTTAAGGATGCAAGGCTAGAGAATCACCAAAGGAAATAGAAGATTATGTTGATTTTGTTATCTAGTGTCCATGTGAGATGTAGTGAATGGAGCAAGTGGAGCAGGTTGCAACTAGCAGCGATCAAGTACCCTTATTTATTGCAATTGGTGAACCCTAGGCTATGATTTGAGACTCAAGCACGATACTGAGAACAGGCTATACTTCAGGATTCAGGTGTGAAAGCAAGGTTGGTCTCTGAAGGATGATCTCTGAAAAAACCACCATACCCCCCACCCTAACTGAAGTTACAGGAACTGTCAACATGAGTCATGATCAAGCCATCTCTAGGGCTTCTGGCTACAAGGAATTGGGAAGGGTTTACTTTTTTTCCATTTCCTGGTGGGGGTGCAGTAAGGGGATTTTGCTAGATTAAGAATTCATAGATTGTGGAGGGTGTAAAATCCCCTTTTTAATAATGCAGGCTGCTATAACATTGGAGGCTATAAATTTGTTCTACAGTACTTACCTATTCCAGTCTTGCTAAATGTGATTGACAGTTTGACTGAAGGACATTTTTAATTCCATCAACCATGCCTAGGATCATGAAGAATCAGAGCTGCTACTGGGAACTTCATGCCCCAATATGAAGCAAAGTGGGCAATCCTAAATCTATAGAATGTATTTGATGTTCAATGGTTAAAGAATTTAAGCTTTCGTTGTCTTAGATTAGCACATGCCATTGGAGAAACTAGAAAGGGATATTTGATGAGTTTAGGATAATGGAGTTATTATGGGTGTTTTGATGTGAATATGATTCTAAGTTATGCAAATTTTGAATTAGATTTGTGATAGACAAATATCTTAAGAATGTAAAATTTCCATGTGGAACAGCATGGTTTATATAACTTGCCATTCTCTATAGGTGCATTTTCCCTCCTCTAGATTGCTGGAAGGATTGGAATTAGGTAAGTTGAGAATGATAGGAGGCTGAATTTGGAGGCCAAGTATATTACCATCCCTTTTAATGTGGGTCTGGCTCGTTGTCAGGGCATCGTCTAGGTGACATTGGCTGGGAACCTTGCCTAAAACATCTTTACTTGTAACAGCAAGGTGGCTGTCTAAGTGACAAAAATGACAAGGCAGACGCCTTATTATAATTTCATTCATTTTGCTATTGTCTTACTAATATGCGTGTCAATATGCATTATAATGTTTACTATATATTATCTATACTTTTTTAAAGTTTTGCCATTGAAATTTAAAAGATCAAAGGGTTTTAGGAAGACAAAAGGAAAGAAAAAATAAAAGTATAAAGAGGTTTTTTTTTTTTTTTTGCTTTTTTCCATTCTCTCTCTCTTGTGCTAAATAAAACAGTAGCTTCACCTTTGATCTTTTTCTCTTTTACTTTCTATCTTAAATTTTGTCATACAAAATTATAACATTCTTTAGTTGCTAATTGATATGGAATTTCTCTATTAAATATTTATTGGTATTATTTTTGAAAATATCGACATGCTTATCTTTTAGATATGATGATTTGCCATGTTTGGAGAGTAAAATTTAGGGCCCATTTTGGTTTGTGGTAATAGGGGTCTGGAATTGGAATGAGCTATTCTGATTCCAACTGTTTGGTTGGGCTGAATTGGAAATCCATTCCCATTCCTGGTGGATGGCATTCTCCCATTTGAGGGAATGGCCATTCCCTTCTCTCTCTCTCCCTTGGGAATGAAATCCCATTTCAACTTATTCCAATTTCCATTCTGATTCCTGTCTGAACCAAACAGATTTTGGGAATAGATCATTCCAATTTTGATTCGGATTCTGACTGTGAACCAAACAGACCCTTAATGTTCTTGATAAAGAAAATTGCTATTCTTTCGAATAATATGTATGGGTAATGATTCAAGATTTTGGAAATCCAGGGGCTTCCAGGGTAGGTGGAATTATTAGGGATAAGATAATTCTTAGCAATTTGGATTTGGTTGGTCATGGTAACTTACCCAAGGGCTGAACTTTTGGCCTTGATTCAAGGTCTAAAATTATTGGTGATGCAGGAATTGGGAAATGTGCAAGTGGAATGCGGACAAATGTTCAAATTCCATGGGAATTTAGGTCACTGGTGAGACAGGCTCAATCAGTAAATGCCTCCCTGAATACCTCATTCAGTTAGGTATCTCGGAGCTCTAATGTGCTTGCTGATTCATTGCACAAGCAGGGGTTGGTAGTGATTGCCTAGAATGGGGTTGCCCGGGGCCGGGTTGTATAACATGTAAAAGTTGATTTCTTTTGATTCATTTTATGTTGTGTTGACACCTTGTTTGATGATCTGAATTGGACATTGTACTAGGTTGCTTACTGCACACATTTTTTAGCAGTATGGTGTCTTTTCATGAATGCATTCTGTTACTTATTGAAAATATCATGCATTCTGAATGATACAAGTTTTTATTTTATACAAATTCTTATCACTTAGGCGTCACCTAGGCAACTATGATGTGGCCATAACTGATACAAGTTTGAAAGTTTAGGTACATTGGTGACTTGGTGTTGCCATAGGCTGCAAGAGGCATGATGTCTAGGGGCTGGAGCATAACAATGTTCATGTGCTGCATCTCACCTAGACTGAGGCAAGTTATGGTTTACGAAGCATGCATCTTTTTTGTGTGTAGAGTGTGCTTCTTGTATATAGAATCACAGTGAAGTGGCCTATGTATTAGAATGCCCTTACCAGTTCAGTTAATTTGCAATTTTACATAGGGAAGAGATTTGGCAATTCCAACTGCAATAGAAGCGGTTCCTTATGAAGAAGACAGGTGCCTTAGTTTGCATCATCATCATCCAAGCCTTATCCCAACAAATGTTTTAAAACGCGGAGGCGTGACGCTAAGCGGTCCACTACCTAGAGGTGTGAGGCGTAGTTCAGAACGTAAGAGGCATAAGCCTCTTGAGCACAAGCAGGCGTGGCTTACGCCTCCTTAAGAGGAGGGGGGTCAGGAGGAAGGATAGGAGGAAGAAGAGGAAGGAAGCTCTCTTTTTTTTCTTTATTTTTAATAAAAAATCTTTTATATTAAGAAGAATAAAGATTGAGTCCAAGATTTCTCAGCCCAGGGCCCGAAGCCCAGCCCCTGTGCTTAAGCTTCAGGCTTTTGAGGAGCCTAATGAGGATTTTAGGCTGAAGTGGTTAAAGGTTTTACTATGTATAGGCTTGCTTTGGACCATATTAGCTCATTATTGGATTTCTTCCAGAAATGAAGTATGGTTTACGATTTTGTAATTTTTAATCCTAATAATGCAATATAACAAAAGCTGCAATTGGATTATAATATTGCATATATGTATGTTGTAGCTTAAATATATAAAATATAATATCTATCTAATACAAGCTTGCAAGCTCAGTTTAGGTTTGACATCTGGCCGGTGACAAAATACAGTAGGCACCTGTAAAGGCTGTAATGATTAGCCAATCTATGTAGTTTTGTTGACTGTCTTGTATCTGATCCAAGCATAAATCTTATTTTCATTTTGAATGGGGCAGATGAGTTCAAAGATTTCTTTGCAAAGTTTGGAGAGGTCAAGGAGCATCAAATCATGCGGGACCATGCTACTAGCCGTTCTCGTGGTTTTGGATTTATTACATTTGAGACTGAGCAAGCTGTTGATGATCTCTTGGCCAAGGGCAACAAGTTGGAGTTTGCTGGAGCTCAGGTGAGTACAAAACCTATTAGAAGTATAATTCTGATAAGTTGTATCACTGTTCCTGCTAAAGTTGCTTTTGAGGAAGATAGTGGGTTCTTTCTCAGTATCTTTTTTTTACCACATGGTTTGAAAATTCTTATTTCAGCGATGCATTTTATTTTGGTTTGCTTCACTGGAATAGTTCACTTGGGAAACTGAGTGCATGCTTTAACAAATCATGGTTGTGTTTTGAAGTTGTGTTATATTAGTTTTAAGAATGTAATTGATTATAATTTAGTATCTTGATCTGATTATGGTAGTTTCTAAACCAGTAAATTCCAGTCTTGCTGTTGCATTCAAAATCAGATGGCTTCTAAAGAATGACAGTCTAGGTCGTTGATATATTTCTCTTCTGTTGTAGGTGGAGATCAAGAAGGCTGAACCAAAGAAAGCTTCAAATCCACTGCCACCACCAGCTAAGCGTTTTAACAATCCTAGGCCGGCATTTGATGGTGGATTTGGGGATGCTTACGGTGGATTTGGCGGTGGTGGTGGTGGCTATGCTGCTAGCTCTTATAGGTCAGGAGGGGGTTATGGGGGTAGACCCGGTGCATATGGTGGATACGGCGGGGGTGAATTTGGTGGTGGGTATGGAGGTTATGCTGGTAGTGGATTAGGATCGTATAGGGGAGAGCCATCTCTAGGATACTCAAGCCGCTATGGTGGAAGCTTTGGTAGAGGTTATGATCTAGGAGGTGGTTATGGTGGACCAGGTGAGGGCTATGGAGGATACGGTGCTGCTGCTGGTGGCTATGGTGCTGGTTATGATGCTGGCCTGGATGGTGCATATGGAGGTAGTGGTGGAGGTCCCTTGTATGGGAACAGAGGTGGTTATGGAGGTAGTGGAGGTGGTCGATACCATCCTTATGCAAGGTAGTGAGATCCATGGAAGACGGTGGTTATCCAGTGCAGCAGCAAAACAAGAACAAATCTTCAAGTTGTAGCATTATTCAATTTTACTGAACCGTGCTAGATAAATAGTCTGATCCTTGCTTTCAGTGCTTTCTCCCCTTGGCTTAAAGATTTCTGAGGAGAGGTTTATATCCAACTTGCGGGCAGGTTTACGTTACCTTAGCGATTTCTTATTTATTGTTTTTTCGGCCTCCTCCTCCCCCTCTTCCCTTTTTTCTCCGTTTACCAAGAACAGAGGGCTGGCATTTACTTGTGTCCGCTTTGTTTTTTCAATCACCCTTTTTTCTTATGTTGTTGCTAAGAATTAAGTGATAGAAGTTTCTATTCCTGTAGCGGTTTATGTGTTTTATTCTAGTGTTGAGATGTTTTCTTTTTCCCCCCTCTTTTCTTGTCTGTGATACTAACATACAAGTATATAACAATAACAGCATGCAAACCTTAAATTTGATCAACCTTTAGTTAGGCTCTTAATGCTTAATGACGAGTCTATGCATAGTCACTTTTCAATAAAGTAACTTTCCACATGGTTCTGAAAGTTACTGCTCTATTATCTTCGTAGAATCCCTTCTGCTCTGCCTGCTCACACGGCGTTGTTATCTGAAAAGCCCTCCCACTTTTCTAAATACTCTTAATTTAGAATCACCTTGTTTCATGTTCATTCATCTTACAGTTCCTCAACGCTTCAATTTGCCCAACATTCTGTTCGATTATTCGACTGAAAGGATGAGCCTGTTTTAATAGGTGGTGCAAGTTGGGTCCCTGATCTGAAGAATGTACATTGCATTGGGTCTATTCAAATTTCTACCTTTAACAAAACCCCAACATTGTCCAAGGTGAAACCCTACGCTCAGTTTGGAAGGAGTACAAATACAAATATGTAGAGTGCAAAACCTTGTATTTTGTACTATTTTGTATGTATTTACACTGTATATGATTGTATTTGCATTTTTTCTAAATTGAGCCCAAATTTCAAGAACTTTGATTTGAACTTCAAATGTCCAAGTCTAACTGTGATCTGTTGTAAGGGTGTTAGCTTCGTTTTTTTTGCTCGGTTTTTCTTTTGATAATCTTATTAATTCAATTTGAGTTTAACTAAATCAACTGAATGCTCACCCGTCTTTGGAGATACCGAGAATTCATGATAAGTTAATGGTGATGCCAAAAAAAAAAATGAAAGAGTTTCAATATTTCAAATAACCCGCACAGCTTGGTCTTCTCTAAGCTGATTTGCTTTTATTGTCAAGAGTTCCATAATCAATTTAAAGCCATCTTGTCTGAAAACTTGGTTCTTAAGACAAAATTACAGAATGTTTTGGGTTGTATGTTCTTTTTGTTTACAAAATTGAATCCTAAAAATGCTGCTGAATTTCTCTGGTTTGAAGTGGTATCATGTTCATATAAAACCTGTACTGCGAGATTTGTTTTTATTTTAAAACCCATCATTTTGATGTTCTCAAAATATAATTTTTTTTTTTGAAAAAGAAACTAAGTTGTTATTGATTGTCAAAACTAGAATTCAATTCAAGAAAATGTTTTTTTTTTTATTTCTTCTCTTGAAGTGGTGAATTCAAGAACAAATGAAAACAAAAATATTCTTGATTCTTATCCATGATCATGATGTACAGTGCTTTTCCCTTTTGTGTTGGAATTTGTGGTGGCTGTTTGAACGTCTGTTTGGAACTCTTTTAATCTGCCATCAAATTTATAATCTTTAATGTTGATTTGACATGTAAAATAAACCCTTTAAAAGTTGTTACCCTTTTCAGTTGTTTTTTCTTATATACAAAACTACCCTTTATTTGTATTACTTTTTTGAAGGGACAAGATATTTCAACCAACATTAAGATGGGAATGAGAAATTGAAAATAGGTTCATAACAAAAGAAAACAAAATAAAGGTATGAGATAGTAATAACATATTTAGTGTTTATAAATGAAAATAACTTGTGAATTTCATAAGAAACCAATGCTTCGTTGTTATTTGCATATTTATTGTTTATAAATGAGAATAACTTGTGAGTTTCAGAAGAAACCAATGCTTCGTTGGTATTTGTTAGGAATATTTTGGTAAATTACTTATATCTCTCTGTTTACAGACTTTTTATATTTTGGTAGTCAAAGGGGCATAGGTTATTGGGTAAATCTGATGGGAGTTTTAAAATAAAATAATTTACCCTTAAAATTGAATGAAGTTGATAAGAATCAAATTCATTCTGGATTGACATGAATGACTAGAGTCCTTGCTACTATGTTTTACACTTTTACTTCGAAATGAAAAAAAAATAATTGATTGAGAGGTGTTAATGAGATTTATATTTGTTTACCAAGCCACAATACAATGCATCCTTTCATTGTTTTACCATTCCCTAACTTTCCCTGCATTTTCTTTCAAACCAAACATTTATTATATACCATTTGTATTTTATCTGTATGCGTATCAACCACCGGGGCTAGTCAGCATATCTGAAATGGGTTAGATGTAAGGGTGTCAATGGATTGGTTTTTTGGATAGATTGGATGGACCAACAAGACATATTGGATTGGATCAATTCGGTCTAAACTATTTATTAGATTGAATTGGACCTGATCCATCCGTAACAAATTTATATTGGATTAAGCCAATATCTGGTCCATTGATATAAGATAAGAATATGTGTATCAATGGACCGGGTTTGGGTTGAAACCAATCTAAATCAAAATGAATTTGAACATATTGAACGGTCCAGACATTGAATTGGACTGATCCAAATTGGTCCAAAACATTCATTGGATTGGATTGGACCTAGTCCATTTATAATGGACTCACATTGGACTGAATTGGATTGGACCAAATCTAGTCCGATTGACACCCCTAATTAGATGCTAGGTGTTGTCGGGAAGCTATGGTGTTTAGGGTTTTGGTTAATGACTGGTAGGCCTAGGATTGTTTTCACAATTTCTAGCTCACTTTGGACATAGTGTTATAAGAAAACAGATTTAAAAATCTGAGGTTTTGAGAATGGTGAACTGGAAATGGATATAGATCTTTCCTTTGTTCTCTTCCTCTAAAAGAACTAACATTTCCAAGCTTGGCTCGGAAATAAGAATGCCATAAGCTGGTTCAAAGTATCAAAATGGTGTGGATATACAATATATTTCTAGTGCACAATACTCTTTTTTTTTTTTTTCAATTTGTCATATGTACAAATAAATACAAATAATATTATCATTTAAACACATTAAAAAGTCCTAATAGAGCACATGGGTGACCCTGGAAATCAATACATATTGTACAATTGGGACTGATATATTGCCATATTTTGAACTACGGCTTTTAAGACGATAAGAGATAAAATTCATCCCTAAACATGTAAAAGACTGTTATCCAATGTTGTCCGTCCAAGCTCTCTGGGGTCTTGGAAGGGGTGGACCATGGTTTTTAAAACCGGATCAGACCGGACGGTTAAACTGGAAAAACTGGATTTCTTCCCCAAACTGTTGATTTTGGTCAGTGAACTGTTAAATTGGGGGGTTAATTATTCAAACGTTCGAAGACTGTTTTTTATTTTTTTAATTATTTTTATTTCTGTCAAAATGGACTAAGCATTTGATTCAAACGGTTGGACCTTTGACCCGGTAATCGGACCACTGACCGATTCGGTCACTGGGTTGGTTTTAAAAACCATAGGATGGACTTTCTTTTTTAAATTCAAGCTTGCATTGTCAAGCTTGTCATCCTAAAATTTTACCATTATTATACCACGGAGTGGTTCCTAAGTGGGAATTTCCAATGTGCATATCCAAAATTCAATTCTTTATACGGGGCCTTTAAAATTGAATGCTGTCATACCTAACGACTTAAATTTTTAGGTTGAACAGCATTAAGAATTAAGATGGTATTAGAGCCTATTTGAGTAAGTGGTTTAAGTATGTGTTTGGAATCGTGGGCATTTATTCGTTAAATATTTGTATTTGATTTATTTATAAAACAAAGAAAAATAATAATAAGTCCGTTTATTGACACTTAGGTGTCATTAGGCCCATATCTACAAAATCATGAATAAACGTTACCCGTTAGGAAAATCGTTAAATTGAAGCTTCCCCATAACGATAGGCATGCACATTAAATCAAGGCCTCTTTTTACAATTCTTTATGATTAGGGATTCGCATAATGGGAAAATACTGATATAATGCCTATATGACAGCATTTATTCAATAAATGCACACAATTTCAAACACCACATTAGTGTTTTATCCTGGTGACTTCCATTATAATTAATTAAATTTTATGGGCGAGAATAAAATATATGCTTTTATGTTGAACGGTTCCTTCCGACATCTACCATCATTTCATCTAAAATATTTCACGGTCAATACCTCGTTTATTACAAAAAAGTTTCACCTGATAAACTATGTCTATTCCATTTTGAAACTTGAAATAAACGCATCAATAAGAAAACCATTTTTTTTTTCCGAGTCTTAGTATATAGTTCTTTATAAGTGACCACCTTCTCTTATGTATTTCAAAAGAGAGAAAAAGAAAAATCAATAAGTAGAAAAGAACTGAGACATGAACTGTGTTCATGCTCAAATCCAGCATTGCCCGGGTTGTTGCGGCACCTATTATCTGCTGAGTGCTCTCTGCTGCCATGCAGGGTGACAGCGCCTCGGTGCTCGGGTCGGCTTGGTCCGGTTAGTTCGGTTAGTACGGCATAGTCCGGGTCATCCGCGTGGCAGCCTATTTCTTGGATTTTGTTCTCCTTATTCTTTGCCTGTGATTGCGAATGTTTGGTGCAGTTTTCTGTGCCCCTCACAAGTCACAACCCAACGGCTCTCGGCTCTCTTCTCTTGTTTATTATAACGCATAATAGACTGATGATCCGAATAATATTTTGGGATAATGACCAATCAGCCCATATAGTACACAGGGGAATGCATCCTAACTGTAAATTGATGTTAAATTCACGGACAGGATGTGGTTTATAGGGGGAGAGGGCTGGAACTTTCTGTAGCCACAGAGGCGTTTTAGTTTTCTGCATAAAGATAGGGGTTCGAGAAAATTTACCCCTACAGCTACAACTCTACAATGACGAAAATTGGAATATACTCCTCAGCCTAAGAACTTCTGCATTCAATGCTTTCCTTCTCACCCTCTGTGAGTGATTATTTGAGCTCAGCTCCATTCGTGTTTTAATTGATCTAACCTCTATCACTTTGCTTTTCTGAATTAGTTTCAACTCAAATGAATGTGGAGATGTTTAAACGGTACTCTTTCCTTCTACTCTTTCAACTGTTCGAAATAATTCCCAGATGATAATACGTGTTTGAGTGTTTTCCAGTTTTCCTCAATCCCATTACCTAAATTTCTAAGAACAAACTTCAAGATATATGTAATGCTGAAAGCCAGAAACATAAAGGAAATCATAAAGAAGCCATATTTCTCACATTCCTAAATGATGTCTCTCAAGCATTAAATAAATTTATATGAAAGAACAGCAAAGAAACCACTTCCTCTTCTCACAAGAAAACTGAAACACGAAAAATAAAAATAAAAAATAGTGTTGTTTCCAAATGGGGAACCATCCAATGAAATCTACGCGATTTCCTCGTAATCCAAGACACAAATCCCAACAAATAGGTTTGGGTTTTTCCTTGAGAGTAAGACAGGAAAAATATCTTAATTGCCTTGTGATGGTGAAATGATGTTTTGATAAGAACTCTACACTTCTACAGTGTTCTCTGTAGCGGGGGAAGAGGAGGTGGAATGGTGGATGCTGCTCTCATCGTTGACCACATTGTTGTAAGAATATGCTTGACACTCTCTTACACATTTGGGTTTTGGCCTATGGGATATGAGTAACATCTTTATGCTCGTCATGTCTTCTTAAATCTCCTTTATTTATTTAATTTTGTTTAGGTACATTCTTGAATTAAAATTCTCATTCAGGTAATCAATGGGAGTCGTAAATGGTTAAATTTGAACTATAAAAACTGGGAATTTTGTGTGGAAAAATATCTTTACTAGAACTTAAGCTTGCTTTAATTTTTCTTCTCTCTTTCATGATCAAACCGGCAATATACTCTTAATAGTGGGTATAGGCAAAGTGTTTAAACCAGATTTCACTACTTGACAAACATCATTCTGTTTTTCCTGAGAAATTATCTCATTTGGTTACCTTCTTCTGATTCTTGAGCTGTCAATAGTTGCTAGGTACAATCATAACCCATGAAGTTTCTATTGCCCAAATTCTAACTCAAATATTTACCCCCCTGATGACTAGAATTTAGAATCCCCTTCAGAGAAAAGTATAACTACTGGTCAAAACCATGGTTTTGAATTGGACTAGTTGACCCGGGAACCAGTCATGTGTCCAGTCAGGTTTTGGAACCCAAAACCGTCTGACCCGGGAACCGGTGGCCAAAGTGGTTGCATTTCTGGCCCGGTTTTCAAAACCATGGTCAAAATCCATGATTTTTTTTTTTTTTTTTACATTGATACTGGATTCCGTAGTATGTTTGGGATTTCAATTTGGGTTATGTATAAAGGTCCTGGTTCAGACAGGCTTATTCTCATGGTGGAGACTCTTTATTGTTATCTATAAGTCTCGTCATTTTGTATGATTGTTTGGTTTTATCTTTCTTTTCTTACACTGTATGAGTTCAAGCTAACTTGAAAGTTTATCATGAAAAAATAGAACTATCTAATTTCAATATAATATTAGGAAGATGCTGTTTTGCTTTCCCTCCTCCAGACTATCACTTTGACAATGCTAAACTTAACATTGCATTTCCTTGTACAGCTAAGCAGCAGCACCACTTTCTCCATACATGCTCTACTTTCTTTTAGAGGTGTTTATCAACACCAGATTCTCAGATTAGTTGTGTCACCTCTGTGTATTACAATATAAACTTCTTATCAATGGAGTGGAATAAAGAGCATACATCCATGTCTGCTACTCTGATTTTAAGTTGTGTATAATGCTGTCAATGCAAGGAGTATAACATAAAGAAACTCCAAACACCCAACACTCCATGCTTGTATGGTCCATTACAAATGAACCCCTCTCTCTCTCTCTCTCCCACCTTTTTTGGATTTTTTTTTTCTTTCTTTTATTTGTTTGTCACTTTCAGCCTATAGTGTAGTCTCATATGCAATCTTAATTATTGAAGAATATTGAAACAAAAGGCACCATAAGAGTAATTATATGGAAGTTTTGATCAAAATCAGCAGATTTGTTAACCAAAAACCTAAAAACCATTGGTTAAACTTCAGCTCATGTAAACAGAAAAACTTGTTTGCATTTCTAATATCAAAATTCTAGTTGTTTTCAGCTTAGCAGAGCTCAGAAGCTAGATATTTAAGTGCTTAATTGTACTAGAGTCCAAAAGCCATTTCACTACAAGGGACCACCTATTGAGTAAAGGTGAGGGTGTATATCCAGTGATTGATTGAATGATCTGTATTGATGCTGGTATAACATGAAGGAGCACATTATGTAGCTTTGCTTGTGTCTTTCATCTATGTGCTGATCCTTTACCCATTGTTTAGATTTGGTGAGATCATCATAAATTTTTCACTTTAATTATATGACTGTATTACATGCAAAAGTTATGCCATTACTGTCATTTCAGGGTATATACATAGGCATCTGATTAATGGTTTGACATAAATGTCCCAACATATTGTCAAGGAAACAAATGCCAAAGACAGAAAAGCATTTTGTGGCATTGCTATTGTTTTACTCCTGATGTCTGCTTCTCTTTTGGCAGAACATGTATTGTGGGGAAAGTGTGAAAAAGCCAAGCTTACACAATTTCAGATGTAATTCATCATTAAGTGGAAAATATGAACCCAGAGGGAAGGGGCTTAATGTACAGTCAACTGGGAGAGTGGGCTGAGGGAATGACTAAGCCACGTACTATTACCACCCACTGTCCATTCTCCTCCTTTAACCATAAAATTTGTACTTCCATTCTTTTTGTTGGGGATTGGGGGTGAGGGAATGTTTGGAGATAAAATTTGTGAATGAATGAAGGTTAAGCGTTCTGTTCATACTCTATATCTGTCACTACAAAACCATCCAACTTCTCGAGTACTTGAATACATCTCATGGGAAGGTCAGATTGCTGGAGAACTATGTATACCCTAATCAGGACTAAGCAGTTGGCTAACAAGTATCAGCTGAGATTCCATTAAGTAGGTACTTTCCTTCGACTTCCTGAACCACCATTGATTCTCATGATTGTGATTTCGAAGATCAGAGTATGGTGATTCTGCTGAACAATTGTTGAAAATGACCAAAATGACTGGTATTGGCATTTTGATGCACTATTTACAGAGGTTCACCAAACACAAAATTCTTTATCAGTGTGATTGCACCAGATTAAAGGAAAGCAGTGAGCACTGAGCACACTGTTATGAGAAGCTTTAATTTTCTAATGTAGGAGTTATTTTTTTCTTTAATTTGGTGAACCTCTGGAAAGTGTGCATCAAAATGCCAATACCAGTGATCAAAACACAATTTATCTTCAATATAACAGGCTTCCACCCTGCAAATGTATACCATCAAACCAGGTTGTGATTGGGTGACGTGAGCTAACCCTTTTCTTAATACTCAGACCATGAGCCGATCTCTGGAGGCTACCCCAGCTCATTTTTTCGACTAAGAGCCGGTTCAAATCATAGATGGAAGGGTGGATCCTTTGGGCTTTGGATCTGGTACATTTTTATACTTTGGCAGACGGATACGACTCCTAGGCTTCCGAGCTCCCCAAAGGACGACGCATACGACTCCTAGGCTGAAACGCAACTCCAAAAAGGCTTGAAAAAACAGAACATTTACCCGACTGATTATATATATGTTCATGTTCATGTTCATCATTCATCATTCATCATTCATCAGTGGAGTACTTGGGAGGACACCAGCGGAAATGAACTGTTGTGTCGCACTCTTGCACTCTCGCTTAGTTGGACATATTTTGAGCTTCGCGCATTGCGTAGGGATTCGTGCAAGTTGGAAGGAGGATGGGCTTGAGTTTGTTCAGCTGAGCCCGAGGTAAGCCAAGCCTCTGAGTTGGTGGATCTTGTTTCGTGGGTAGAGTGAAATAGTGAATCGAAAACCAGAAGTAGGTTATAGGTTACTGTGTCACTCGCTGAGCATTGTAACAGCTTATGAGACAAGTGGCAAGTTAGTGGACCTCGTCTGTAGGTTAGCCACGTTGCACCTTGTTGTTCAGAAGTAAACCCATGTGCCAGTCATCAAATTTAGTTAAGTTGAGCCCTCCGGATCCGACTTTGGATTTCCTCCTAAACAATAATAAAAGCTGCAATCAGTAGCAATAATAATAATAAACAAAAGGAGACAAGCATAACCTACTCTGCACATCGAATGTGATTTTCTTTTTTTTTTTTGATTGGCTTCAACAAGGTGGTAATGATGGGATGAATGGTAGTCTGAGGTGGCTAAATTGTTGGCACGTGGCAATCGTACAGGTACAGAGTGGATGAAGCACAGAGCACAGTAAGAGAGAGGGAAAGGAATTGAGTATTTGCCTATTTGGTATTCGCTCACATCGCAATTTGCCTCCTCCTGGTGAGTCCTGCCCCAAGTGTAAAAGTAAATTCTAAAAACCGATCATATGGATGATCCTAGTGGCCAGTGGGATGTGGGAGCCCTGGCCATCTGTGTCGTATTCGTTTGGACATTGGGACACGAAAAAAAGAGTAGGTCCTTCTTCCTTATCCTCCCGTCCTGATGTGAACGTGTTGCTCCTCCCCATCTCCCATCTCCCATCTCCATGCACTGCACTCAACCACCCTACTCACTTGATGTTAGGGTATCCCCATCTCCCATCGAATCCATTCCCCCAAAAATATTACATTATTTTAATCAAATAAATTTTTGGGAAATTGGATTCATCCACAATTGGAATTGGAATTTGGAAAAGAAGAGGAAGAAGCCCCGATCGAGCGCCTGCTCCCCCCTCCTCCCTTGCCTTGGGCGGTTAAAAACTAAAAAGCACCGGAAGCATATTTTATTATCATGCGCCACCATTTGACACAGCGATCCACATGCATCTTGCCTTCCTGGTTCACGTGCATGCATGTGACACCTCCTCAGTCCCCCCACACACACCCTCATGACTCATGAATCTTCCCATCTTCCCCCAACCCAAAAAATGCTTTGTGAGTTGTGATATATACATACAAGATAAGTGCTACAGTGCTACCGCACCTCTACTCCTCTCATACTGTCTTCTCATCTGAATCCAACATAACTCCTCTACCCCAATTAATTAATTTAATTACTCTCTCAGTTTATCAAATCAAAGCCTTTCTATTCTTGTCTCCGTTCTTCCAAACCTCCACAACCCTGTCAAATCTTGGTCTTCTTTCACACTCCCAGCCCCAGGGGACAAAGAAAAGAAAGCTTTAAAAATATTAGATTCTGATCCAATGGTCAGATGCAATTTGACTGCGGTCGACGATTTATACAAATCCCACTCGCGCAATAGTTTCTTGGACCAGCGGCGTCCATCCGCTCTCTATAGTATTGAGTCAATCAGTCACGACTCACGACCGCAGCAGAGCCTGAGCTTAAACCGGGAGTTGAAAAGAAAGATTTCGTTTCGGACCAAACTCCAAAATAGACCCTACAGTACTCGTCGTAGTAGTACAGTCTACGGTACTTAGGGCTTGAACTTTTTATTACTTAATGATAATTGTTTTTTCGGTAAGAATTATTGTTGTTTTTTTCTAATTAATTATTACTATTAATACGACAGACAAAATACCTCTTTTTATCTAATAGATAAGAGAGAAATAATACGTATAGTTCTTTTTCTTTTTTAGTAAAAAGAAATTAGTTAATTAATTAATATCCGAGGTAAAGAAAAGAAAAGGCGCTCTCTTCGGCCTTCGGTCTTGAGTCTTCTCAGGAGTTGTCTCTGTCTCTCTGTCTCTCTCTCGCTTTGCTGCTGGTGACTGGGTGTAGACTATAGAAGAACAAGGAAGAACCGAAGAGAAAGGGAAAAAATAAACGAGAGAATAAAAAGAAAAAGAAAATCACAAGGAAGAGAGAAGAGAGAATATCCAAGAAGATAAAGACGGATTGATTTGCATTGCATTTGCTACTGCTTTGATTTGCTTGCTGGTGCCTGCTGGAGTTGGACTCGTTTCGTCTAATCTCTCCAAGACGAGTGACGACGAAATAACAGAAATTCGGTAGAGTTCTCTTCTCTCAGCTCCAGTACTGCCCCCTTCTCCTGTTTGGATCCGATCTATTAAGCCCTTTTCTGAAAAGTAAAAAAAGAGAAAAAAAATCTCTCTCTCTTTTCAGCTCTGAAGCGTCTCATTTTACTTTCCAGCCATGAAAGATCGCCCCCTCTGCATTCTGAGATCTATTCTCTGATCAGTGATCAGGTAATCGATTCTTTCTTTTTTCTTTTTTCTTCCCATTTGTGTACTTCTTATTCTCTTTGAATCTCTTTCAGCAATAGCTTGGCAGACTACAATGGAAATCCGGGTGTTTTATTTTTAATTTTCGTTCGACTGCGTAAATTGATTAAATCTTGCCCTTTTCTCCTTTGGCGGGAGATATTTATTTCCATAATCCTTAGGAATCCAATTTCACTGTCTGGGATAATAATGGTGGTATCGGTAACGCGTGTGTGCAGATTTGGAAATTTTGATTTTGAGGAAAAAAGAGAGAATCTTTGAATCGCTTTGTCTGAATTATCCTTCTTGCTTGATCTTGTACGGCAGAATCCCTGTCTTGATTCGTTTACTTGAGAGGACGATTTGAGTTGAGTATCGTGTCATTGATGGCTACAGCTCCAGAGCTACATACCGCTTCCTCCCAAAAACCTATGGTTGAAGAGTTGAGTTGCAGCGCGTCAGCTTCGACGCCAAATTGCTCCAAAGAATTCCTGCCCGATGCAATTCGTGCTTCCTCCAAAGCTCATGATTCTGCTTCCGTTCCAGGTTCTAACTCTTCCCCCGTCTCAGCAAATCCTCGTTCTTTTCAACCACCGCCACGGTCTTCTCCAAAACAATCGAGTAATGGAGTCTCGTCCACTTCATATGTGACCGCACCGTATTACGATACCAAAACTACTAACTATCCAGCAGCTCCTGCTATGCATCAGAAGCATTCCCACAAGACAATCCAAGACCATTTGCAGAAGGAAGAAGTACCCAGTTCCTTGAAAAAATCTCATAAATCGAACAGAGGGCAACCTTTACCGGTGGACATAAAGGATAGCAAGATGGCTGGAGCAACCACTCAGGAGGAGGTTCTAACAGAAACGAATCCGGAGCCGGAACCTTGCATTAAAAATCACATAGATGATTCAAAGACTCCTAAGTCAACTTGCTTGCCGAAGCAAGAAGGCTTTGTTTCGGATCCTTGTGAAGATCCAGATAACAGCTCATTAGCACCACACTCGGGCATCAACCGTTATCCTAGTCCTGATAACAATTTCTGCACTGAGGCCCAATACATAGAAGCTAAGGAGAGCTTTGCTGCCACAGATGTTAGTGACCGTGTCAGCAGTGTGGAAAAATCTGGTGGAAGTGCCAAAGCTAGCAACTCCTGTGATTTTGTAGAGAGCAGGAAAACTAGTATCTGCAGAGGAAGCACTGGCAGTGATGTTAGTGATGAGAGTAGTTCAAGTAGCATGAGCAGTGCTGTATACAAACCCCACAAAGGGAATGATAGAAGATGGGAGGCAATTCAAGCTGTTCGTTCTCGTGATGGGGTGTTGGGATTGAATCACTTCAGGCTCTTGAGGAGGTTGGGCTGTGGAGATATAGGTAGTGTTTACCTATCTGAGTTAACTGGGACTAGAAGCTTATTTGCCATGAAGGTCATGGACAAAGCAGCTCTAGCAAGTCGGAAAAAGCTTCTGAGGGCTCAGACAGAAAGAGAGATTTTGCAGTCTCTGGATCATCCGTTCCTGCCTACTTTGTATACACACTTCGAGACAGAGAAGTTCTCTTGCCTAGTCATGGAGTTTTGCCCAGGAGGAGACCTGCATGCACTCCGTCAACGACAACCAGGAAAGTATTTTCCTGAGCATGCAGCTCGGTATAATCCTAATCCTGTTCTTATTTCCTTTGGTTCTTTTCTTATAGCTGATGGCATATGAAAACTTATTAAACTGAGCAAGTAGCCAATGCTTTAAGGTAAAGAAGATGTACAAAAGGAACATGTATTTCTAACTAAAATTTGAACAATCTAATAATCTATATAATGTTTTTTTAGCATTGGTGAACTTTCCTCTGCATAAATCCACAGGATGGCATACGAAAAATGACTTCCTGCCGTTAAACCTTTGAGAAGCAAAATACCGATATAATATAAGTTGACCATGCAAATGCATGTCTACAATCACTTAGAAATATGCGCTTTTGTCTATTCAGATGATAGAAGATATTTAAATCTTGTCATGATCCCGAACCTAAGCCACTGTACAGAGCTAGCATGGTCAATAAGTACCTTTAATTATTTCCGAAATGATTTTTTGCCTGGATCACTTGTGATTTTCTTTGTAAATCATAACCAGGATCTTTTTAATTTCATTTTATCATCATTAGGGTCATTTATAATTGATGAACCCTACCATTGTTCCAGCTTTTAACACAAAGAAGATGACTCTGTTCTTCCTTCACCACCACGAACAATGGCCTCCGAACTCCCTTTGAAATCTACCAAGTTACTTTAAAGATAGTTAGAATAAGTAAGCACATCATATCATCTCTCTTCCACATGCCTGGAATTCTTCCCTTTGCTCAGTTCCTGGCATTCTTTAGTTTTCTTATTTAATTCATTAACTATCTTTCAATTGCTTTCCACATTTCAGTGCTTCTCTGGGCATTAACCTATGCAATTTGTAAAAGACACATCTATCCACTCCACTTTGCACACAGGATTAAACTGGAGAAACATTTTTGTTGCCAATCTTCTCTGTATTCCTATTATCATTTGGAAGCTCACTGCTTCTTCCCAGTCCCTCTTCCTCCTTTGTTCTTGAATTAGAACTACGTTTTCTAAATACCCATTCCCACCCCAAAAGAAAATTGTGAACAAGTGAAATAATTTGAACCTGGTTTTAGATTGTAATAAGTTACAACTATTCCATATGGGCAAAATTCATGTATATTTAGAAAGGCCGTTATCCAATGTTGATCCCAGCTATGTGGGGTCGTATATTTTTAATGACTAACAGAAACTGATTCATTAATATTAAGGAAAGATGTACAAAGAGGATATGTGGGGTCTTGGGAGGGGTAGACTGGGTATGGACCTAACTTTTCCCCCCACAAAGTGGCTGCTCTCAGAATTGAGCCCATGTTCTCATGCTTGTCACCCTGAGATTTTGTTATTACACCGAGCAATGCCCCCTATAGTATGCATTTGGTAGGTGTTATAGACATGCCATATTCTCAAACTTTATATCATGTACAACTTATTTGTATCAATATAGATGCTCTCAAACTTGAACCCATATTCTCATGCTTGTCAGCCTGAGATTGTACCATTACACCAAGTTATGTCCCCTATGGTATGCATATGGTAGGTGTTACAGACATGTCTTGATGCACTGCACACTACATTTCAACCTCATATCATGTATACAACTTATTTGTATCAATTTGGTGATTGTGGAGTGTGGATGCTTTTTACAAGTGGATTAAAAGTTTATTGGCTTTAGTTTCATTGAATCAACTTTTGCAATCATGGTGCAGGTTTTATGTAGCAGAGGTTCTCCTTGCTTTGGAGTACCTACACATGCTTGGGATCATTTATAGAGACCTTAAACCAGAGAATGTTTTAGTGAGGGAAGATGGCCATATAATGCTTTCAGATTTCGATCTCTCTCTAAGATGTGCAGTCTGTCCAACATTGGTGAGGTCCACAAACACAAACATGGACTCAGCAAAGAACTCTGGCTACTGTGTTCAGCCTTCTTGCATCGAGCCAACTTGCATGATCCAGCCATCTTGCATACAACCAACATGTTTTGCACCACGTTTCTTGTCAAGAAAACCCAAGAAAGAAAAGAAATCAAAACCAAAAAATGAAGTTTATAATCAGGTATCTCCGCTTCCAGAGCTCATTGCAGAACCTACAAATGCTCGGTCAATGTCTTTTGTGGGTACCCATGAGTATTTGGCCCCTGAAATCATCAAAGGTGAAGGCCATGGCAGTGCTGTAGATTGGTGGACATTTGGTATCTTTCTCTATGAGCTTTTGTTTGGGAAGACTCCATTCAAAGGTTCAGGAAACCGTGCTACTCTCTTCAATGTGGTAGGGCAGCCCCTAAGATTTCCTGAATCACCTACTGTGAGTTTTGCTGCAAGAGACTTGATCAGAGGTTTACTTGTGAAAGAGCCACAACATCGCCTTGCATATAGGCGTGGGGCCACTGAAGTTAAGCAGCATCCATTCTTTCAAAGTGTCAATTGGGCACTTATCCGGTGTGCCAGTCCACCTGATGTGCCAAAGCCTTTTGTAATAGACTTCCCAACAAGAACAGAAGTGCCAAAGGCACCAACAAATGAGAAGATGCCAGGAGTAGATGTGAAGCCTTCAGGTAATTATTTAGAGATTGATTTCTTTTGATTCTTGTAAGTTGCACCAGTTTGATGGTAAGATATTGTGATTGAATGGTTCTTTTCCATGGCAAGGAGATCAGAAGTTGTAGCTGCTCTCAGTTGCACATGTAACTACTCTTTATTTGCATTAAGCATGATAAGTCCTGCAAAAACGAGTAAAGAAGTTACTTTTCTTTCTTCTGCCAACCCCTATCCACAGCTAACGTAAATGATTTCTGGTAGCCCATTGCACATGTCTTGTTTTTAGCAGAGCCAGAGTCATTGTAGAAATGTTTTGCATGGTCATACAGAAAAATGAAGCCAACTACTGAAATTCCTCAACTATTTGGAGATGTTGGAGTGCATGCTGTGGGAGAGCTTTGGGTAACATTTGGTAATCATCTAATGGTGGTACTCCTCAATTCTAACAGATCAATATTGAGTGTCATCATTCTGCTGGTATTAGGTCCACTGTTTCTCTTAACCAAAGAACTGCACTTTCTGGACCTATGCTTGCTGGATCTTAAATTTATAGTTAGAATGACTGCATGTTTTTCTCTCTGTTACTCGTAGGAACCTGTAGGTAGTATTTTTCGGCAGGCTGTAGTTATGAGTTTGAGCAGTCTCACATATCTACTGTGGCACTGTCTAGATGCTAGCATTTCATACCATACCTTAACAATCTAGAGGCGCCAAAAAAAAATCTAGAAGCAAAGTATAACTTGTGATTCATGCTCTTCAAGATTATTACTTATTTATTTAGGATCTAGATCATTATTCGGATGAGTCTTGTAAATTTTACATGCGTCTTAAGATAAAGGTTCTGCAAATAATTTAAGAGGTAACCCCTACCAGCATTGTGCAATGGTTCACTCTCATCGGTTCAGTGGATTAGTTCTGGTTTTGTATCCTCCCAAGGCTTTTTTTTTGGGTACAGGTTAAGCACTGAAACCAAAATGGTAGAGACCTTGCAACTCTTGTTGGATGTTTGTTGCTTTTTGGTATGGCCTGAAGCTCCATTAAGAACATCTAGTAGAGTTGCACATCTCATAGATCGACATTATCTTCTTTGGAGTAGGTCTGCATGAAGGGATGCTATTGCATGCTACATTAGATAATTACAAATAATGTCTCCTTTGCGTTCTTCCAGTTTATACTGGATACTGCAAGAATAAGGGAAGGATGCTATTAGGTCTCCGTCTTGGCAACCATGGTGAGTTAAGGGTTAGATTTTAGCCCAATGGGTGCTTTGTTGCCACTAACCAGTGCTTGATAATTTGGGTGCAAGAAAATATGGTTAAAGTTAAATTAATTTCAATACTTAAATAGGTGGTCAGGTTCACTTGTCCCATTTACAAACAAGCACAAAAATTGATCGAGAGTTCATAATTGACGAAGGGTTTCTGCTGTGTTCCGTGAACTACTGTTACATTTCGTTTTCTTCAATAATTTATTCACCAACTTTTGTTAAAGCAAGACACCAAGGTAAATGCGTTATTTAAAAAATCCTTGAGAACTTGCTAGTTATTATTCATTCGGACGTTAGATCAGTAAGTCAGTTTCGTGCTTTCCTTCCAAAGGGAGTCACAATAGTGCACCCAGTCCTTGTGGAGTTGACTAATTCAGTGAACACTCGCTTGCATGCAAGCATGTATACTCTTCCCATTTTTTCGAAACTTTCAGGTACCTTGCCAGTTGCCACGAAGCATTTTCCTTATACAACCATTATAGGTTTTTTAGTCTTGCAGATATAGACCATGGTTTCAGATATTTTAAGACCAATAGAGAGCCAGAGAAACATATGATATCCCTCAATTAGACTTTGCTGAAAAGCACACGCATTCAAAGAAGCTCCTTTCTGCATTTCGCGTAATTTCTGGTTTCTGTCGACTTGATGGTGGAGAAGATTGCATTTCCATTATTCGTTGTCGTACAACCTTTCTACCACCAAAAACAATGTTGACCTCACAAAATTCAGGAGCATTTTTCTGGACAAATTCACTTTTCCCCAATCCCTTCCTCGACCGCCTGCAAAGATAACTCAACTCTTCAGCCACGAGGTTCGACAGATTTACAAGCTAAACAAAAAACTATTCATGGCTGGACAGGACCAGGGAAGATTACCTGGGATACCTCTCTGGGGAATGTAAGAATAACTGAATTGTTTTTTTTTTTTTTCTTTTTTTGTCATATAAAGACTAGGGTGGGGGTGGGTAGTGGACTCTGTTCCCAAGAACTGTGTGACAATTCCCAATGGGGCAGGGGATCTGTGAAGCCGTGCTGTTTGACCCTTTTCAATATGCATATATGGGGAGCATGTTTGCTGGTTGAGTTGTATAGCGAGCTTCCCTAAGCAATTCAGGAACTTCCACTTGGCAAAAATTTGGGGCTTTAATTGAAAGAGAGTCGGATTAAAGATTAAGGGATATAATTAGTTGGACAAAACTTTACCTCTAATATAAGGTTGGTTATAGGTCTATAGGAGTAATGTGGACTGTGTTGTTGTAAACGTGACTAGTAACTAGGTCTCCCATCTGATAGAGTAGACAACCCGGATCGATAATATAATTCCCCATTGTAGCAGAAACCAGAAAGAGGTATCGTATTCCAAGTTCTGACCTTTTTCCTTACGTATCCATTTTTTATGTAGTTTTACTTTAGCCCTTTGCTTGGTTAGAAGAGAGTAAAGGCAAGAATAAAAATGACCAGGGTTACCTAGAGGAAGGGGTTCGCTTTGTTCCCATGACAAGGTTGGTAATGTTAAGAACAGGAATGAGTTCCAGAATTGCTTTGGCTGTGTGATCGCTTTCAATAAGCATTGTGTCTACAGCTACCTGACACAAGAAAACGTAAGCATCAATCTTATTAAGATGTGGCAGTTCCAAGGCGCACCCATATGAATAAAAAATACAGCGCAAAACATTCCTTCACCTTCGCATCACGGCACAAGCGAATGTATTTCTGCAAGAGGTACTCCCTCCTGGTGTTCTCCACCTGGATGTACTCCTTCACATGTTCTTGGCTCATTTGACTCTTTGCTACTCTCCCAACTACACCCACACCACAAAAAGGAAAAAAAAAAAAAGAAAAACCCAACCACATTTATGAGTCAGGAGTTTTAAGAGGGAAGATAATGTCAAAGAGATGTATAAAAAGTCTGTGTGACCAATAAAACACAAATACTCCCTACTGACTGCTTTATTTTCAGACAGTACTTGTGACAAGTAGTGCACAATCACTTGGAGTTGGATGAACTATGACCTGATCAGAGATCTAAAATTTGAGAGTGTCTATAAAATTAAAGAGAACATAGGTATGCCAAGCCTGTCTAGTGCGTGCGTCTAATATATACTTAATTGGTGAACCATGTTGAATGTTATTTATGTAAACAAAAACACACAAGGCAATCGGTTCCTTTATTCTTACTCCTTTGGTCTGATAGATATAGCACCGAGTACCTGATCACCTGTCACCACTAGATTAGTTGGGGTTGGAATAATTCTTTAAGTGCACCTTGATTTCTTAAACCTTGCAATTTCAATGGTTATCCCCAGACCTGTTTAAGTCCAGCCGGGTTTCTTTGGGGAGTGGCCAGTGGGCACTTCCTCAACCCAGTCTGACTGGTTAATTAATTTCTAAGAGAATCAAAGAAGAAAGACTAGGCTAACTCACCCATATCCTTCCTGGATTAATTAGGCAGCTTGAGATATAAAGACAATCAACTATGTTTTATGGCCACACTGAGCTCCAAAAACTCATTTACCACACAGAGTACTACTAGTCCTCCCAGTTAAGCTCCTCCAACAAGTGATGATCAGTGTGATCTCTGGACTAGACGTAGCCAGATGTAATCGTTATATACATATATTATAGAAATTGCTCCTTCGCATCCGAGAAACAACATTTGAAGCAAAAAAAAAAAAAAAAAAGTAGAGATACAAAGGGCTGAGTTTAATTATGTTACCAGGAGTAGGGATGTAATTGATGGGAGGGAAGACATGGATGAGATACAAGCGAGCTCCTTGAGATACAACATGATCGAGAGCCCATTTCAGAACATCCAAGTCGTTTTTTCCGACAGCCACGTAAACGTCGCGAGATCCTTCATTTCTGCTGCCTGCAGTTACTATAATCTCACTGCCTTCTCCTAGCTCTACTATTTCAGGAGATCGCTCCTCCTCCTCCGACGGTGACATAATATTCTCTTCCTCCATCTCTTATCGCTTTCTCGTCGCATTTATCAGAGCAAGGGAGACGGGGCGAGCAAGGAAGTTATATGGGTTTGGCAGTTTATAGGGGGTCCAGTACTGTGGTAAAAGGGAAAAGAGATTCTCTTTAATTTTGTCAAGGTCTGTAGGCGCTTGGATCACTGACTACGCCCACCCCACTCTCCATTCTCCAAGCTCCAACGTGCTTTTGTTCTCTCTGCAATTCAACTCTCCTTCTAAGCCCCCATTACACAGATTAGAACAAAAACAATTTGAAACTTGCTTCCTCCCAAAATTAACATATGGTTTTAGCGGTCCAGGTCCAAGCTAAATGATTCATACTCATCATCAGTGCGTAAACCCACTTCATTCATGCACATGGGTGAAGGATTATTTAATCACTGATACATATCTCCTTCTTTCTAGGCAAATATGGTGCATTAATTGCATTGTGCAGCTAAAAGTGTGAATCAGTGATAGATATACTTTGTAGAATATAATGAATAAGATCATATGACATTTTTAATGTGATTGGTTTAAATCTTAATTTAGCATACCCTAAATATTGTTGAATTCACCTAGTTAGACTCTTCTTTTATTTTTTGAGGTTTTAACTAGGTCAACACACAAGAATGCTTATGGTCCTTGGAGTCTTGAGACAAAAAGGCCAGCGGGTTGAAAATGATTGAAATGGCGGCCTTTGGTTGGTCATGTATGCTTTTGCCTTTTCAACTACTTCGCAAAATGGGGTGGTGGCCCTCTGAAAGCACTATTTGCTTTCCTACTTATTGAGACGTGTCACTTGATTCTTTCATTTTCCTTTCTCTTTCAACAGAAGACCAACTAAGTTTTAGCCATGCCGATAAAATTTTGGGAAGGGTTTAACTTCCTCCCTTACTCATTTACGCATGCTCCAAAGTAAGTTGCAGGGTGGAAATGATGCAAATAAAGTGTAAATACAAATATAATATGCAGAGTACATTTTGATTTATACAGATGCAAAGTTAGGTTAATTTTGCATGGAAAAAATTTACTTTCTTATCAAACGATTTTTAGTTGTAATGGATGCAAATGCAAAACCCAATATAGAAATATACTTTTACACAAATGCTTTCTTGCCAAACGCCAACAAAACTGAACTAGAGTGCATATTTGCACTGAACCTGTACATCATATTAATTTCCCATTCTATCATCATCATCATGTCCTACATGAATCCTATTTTTTCATTTCAGTCTATTTAATGTCATATTCATTGTTAAATTATGAGCTTAATACTTTTTTTACTTTAACTCATTTAACTCATTGCCTTTTTTATCTGCCCCCAGCCTTTAATTTTAACCCCTTACAACGGATCACTTGTTATGAGATTACTGATGTCATATATTTATTAAATGATGTCATATTAGTTTAATCAAATTACTAGCTTTAGAAACATTTGTAGTAGTATAATCACAGTATCAGCAAGTAGAAAGAAGAACCACAACAATTATGTATGTGTTAAGCTTTGCATTATTTCTTGTTTGTTTCTTCAATGCTTCTAAATAACAATACAATTGACAATTGTCTTTCTTCTGGAAAACAAAACCATCCACATTGTCGAATACCCCCCCCCCCCCCAAAGTTTCGAATTAGAATTACGAACTAGCAAGAAATGAATTCAATAAAATAATTAGATGATCTCAATTAATTTTTTTCTACAGATATGATATGAAAAGTCTCTTCGATGGAAATCCATGGAAGAACTATTCATCCTCATCCCAGTGGGATTATGTCCATCACGACTCTGGAGGTGGAGGTGTTGTTTTCAATCTGTGGTTTCAGGTTTTTCTGGGTGTGTCATTATCTGCAAATTTCAAAGTTCAAACTGGGAGGTTCCGCACCGCCCCTATCCACTTTGATGGGTGGCTGTGGCCCATTCACTAAATTCTCTCAAGCGAAGTCAGATCGTCAGAGTAGGGAGTCTGCACTGCATCTGTGGGATCTGCTGCCCACACCCTAGAGATCAAATCAACTCCTCACAAAATTGACTCTTCCACAACATTCCACAGAACATTCCTGCCATGTATTGGGAACATCTCCTGATGATAATACCAAAATTGATGATATGTCATCATCGGAAGATGTTCCCAATACATGGCGGGGATGTGCTGTGGGACGTTGTGGGGGGCTCATTTGAACTTCACACCCTATCCACAAGACACTAACATCCATGGAAAACATCTTCTACGGTGGATGCTTTATTTTATTTTTTATTTTTTTGAGCTCGGGTCATGTTTAGGAATTTGGATTAGCTGCACTTGATGGTTACATTAGGGGCTGTTTAACTGACAATAATTCTCTACATCTAGGGGTGCAATTTGGGCCAAGTTGGATTGTGAAAATTTGTTATATTTTCAATGGGCCCGAAACCTAAACCAAACCCAATATGGTTGAAATTCTTCTAGTTGGGCAACCCAACTTCCAGCCCTACCTATATTTGTCATTGAGTGTAAATGCACCACAGTGACTTTTATTATATATGAATCTGGGATCTAATATTACAGCCTCGTATAAGGAACATCTTTTATACTTATATGTTGTCATTTATGGGGAGATGTTCCAAATGTATGAATATAATGTCTTGTAGTAGATTAATAGATTTTGAATGATAGATCCAAATTCTATTATTATTGGTTAAACATCCCCTAAAACAGTCATCAAGTTCAGCTAATTCTGATATTATTCTTTCACCATCACTTTATACCAACCAGGTATGCTTGTTAATTTTAGAGAGTGAAGGAACTATGGTAATCATTAAATCCCTGAAAGAACCAAATAATTATAACGACACCATGCCAACACAATCCACTCCATAGTCCACAGGCTCAACACCGCTACCCAACACACTATCCATTTATAACTAATCTGAAGTCCAAACCAACAATAAGGGTGGGGGGGGGGGTGTTCTACAAGACACCGAATCACCTGCTCATGAGAACTTTGTTCACGTCTACTCACAACACACTATCCCTTGAATTGGGAATATCTCCCCCTGCATAATATCATGTAGGATGATGAGATGTTCTCCATGTGTGACTGCGATGTTATGTGGGTAGACGTGGACAAAGTTTGTGTGGGCAGGAGATTCGGCCACGTTCTACAATATGATTATTTTTATTTTTAAAAACAAAAACAATATAATTCTATTGACGTGGTAGTTATTTTCAAAAGCAAAACTAAAAATGTTATTTAACACCCTGCAAGTAAGAAAACAGCTTTGGTCCTTTTAAATTATAGGTACAATTGCTTGAGTCCGTGTCTCCTTGTTTTCTGAAAATTTTCAAAATGTTGGAAGTTGGATGAAAGGGCTTTAACATCCACCGTGAAAAAAAGTGACCGTATCTATAATTTCAACGGTGCAAAAGTTCTCTTCCTAATTAAGTAAAACCTTTCTTGCATCAAAGCCTATTGGTTGCAACTCCATTACTTGTCTTGGTCGAAATATCTTTTTCTCACCTCCTTCTCGAGGTTGGCTTCGGTCAGACAAAGCCTATTCAAACAGCCTTTACTACTTTGAATTGAGAATATCTTTATACTTATGTGCTTTATTTCATGGAGAGATATTCCTGATCATAAAAGGCTGTTGAAACAATGTGGGCATGAATTTGCACTGACGGAACCGATCTTTCTTCATAGTGCTCCTTGCTTCTTTTTTTTCCTTCAAATTTGTCTCTTTGACTTTCTTCCCATTAATGACTTCAAGTTGAACCTTGGCCACCATCAACTTGAATGAAAAAGAAAGCTTATTTCTTTGAGGGTTTTTTAAAGTTGTAGATAAATTAAGATCAACTCAAAGGTTAGGACCTAACACTCAAGAGTTTAGATCTGCTGACCACAATACATTACAAGCCACATTCATCCAACCGTGCATCAGGAACATCAGTTGTACTTTAGCACCAGCAATGTGTTGTGATTAAACCTAAGCTGGAATCTGACATTTCAAGCTTGGACTAATTTGCTTGGGACCTATTATTCCTTTCGGATTCTCATGTATTAGAAATTTAATTGCTTTCTTCCTACAGTTTTGTCAATCTCATTTATGGTTCATTGTTTTCACATTTGATTCTCTTTGTGTGGATTTGTTTGGGATTTATTACTGTCTCTTAGATTCTCATTTGTTCATTCTGTTATTCTCATGAGACAGTATGTTATATACCCTTATATTCTATTTATGTATTGAGAATTCAGTTCAATTCAATTCTCCATCATTATATAGGTTATCTATGGAGTGATTTGGATACACATATTATCATTACAAGTTATCTTTAGGAATTTTTGGATATTCATGTTATAATTGTAGGTTATTCATAGACAGGTTTTCTATACGGATATAGGGATTTGGATGTTCATGCTATCGTTACAAGTTATCCATGGTGATTTAGATAAACCTGTTATCACTACAAATTTTGTCCATAGGGATTTGGATGTTCATGTTATCATGACAGGTTATCCACGGAAAGGTTATCTATATATAGTGCTTTGGATATTGCATGTTAGGTTTCGGATATTTTAGTTCTAGTGAGACTGCATTTAATTTGTTTATTTGTTAACTATCATTCTTGTTTCATTGTAAGTGTGACGTGTTTATGCATGTATGCATGTAAGCATGTTTGAATAAATATGTGCTTAGAGAGGTTGGTTGTACTTAGGGCAATCAATGGGTCGGATCTGACCCGATGGACCCAAACCGGTTGAGCCGGTTTTGGTTCTAGATGGGTTGGTTCTGGGTCCCGATATAATGTCCCTATATATATATATATATATATATATATATATATATTTATTATAATCGGGTCTGTTACCCGAGAATTGATTGGATTGGTTTTGGTTCTAAAAATTCCAGATTCTATCGGGTTTGATTTGGTTCTAGGTCCTCGTTATTTTATGTTGGGTCAATTCCAGTTCTACCTGGTCCCGACTTAGACCCGACCTATTGACAGCCCTAATTGTACCAAGCTACCAGCTAGGGGTGAGCATTCGATTTATTCAATTAAAAACCGAACCGAAAAACT